TTACACATTTTGAGTTAATTTTTCTATGTAGTATGATGTAGGATTCCAATCTAATTCTTTATTTATTCATTTTTGAGACAGGATCTCACTACCTATTCCAGGCTGGTTTTGCACTCACTATGTAGCCCAGGCTGGCCTCAAACTCACAGGACTCCTCCTGCTTTAAGCCTCTCAAGTGCTGGGATTACAGGCATGTGCCATCACACTTGGCCTCTCACACCATTTTTATCCTTTTATTTTGAAATAGGGTCTCATTAAATCTCTAAATTGCTCAGGGTTGGCTTGAATTTGGGATCCTCCTGCCTCAGCCTCCCAGAGTGCTAAGATTATAGTCATGTGCTGGCCCCTCCCTCCTCCTCTTCCTCCTCCTCTTCCCCTTCTTCTCTCTCTCTCTCTCTCTCTCTCTCTCTCGTCTCCAGGGTCTGGCCTGTAGCCCAGGCTGGCCTCAAACTCTAGAATCATCCTGCCTCAGCTTCTGGAGTGCTGGGATTATAATAGTATTGCATGTTTTGTTTGGATTTGAACAAGCTCAAGAACTCACTCCCCCCTGCCCTACCAGAGCCACTCCCTCCCTCCTACACATCCCCACCTCTGGGCCGAAAAGGGGAGGCAGGGATGGGGGCTGGGCTCCTCGGGTCTGTCTTCCCACAAAATAGGCATCCTGTCGTGGTTACACACAGAGATGGCTGCTCAGATGGCCGGGCAGTGGACCAGAGCTCTGGGTAATGAGCCTGCCATCCCATCTGCCTGGCCTGTTATTCAGGACATCCCTGCCCCCTGAAACTCACAGCTGGCCAGGGAGAAAGTCCCCGGGCACTGGATGCTCCTGCTTCAAGCTACAGCTGCGCAGGAACTGAACTTGCCACACACTGAAGAGCATCACACTTGGAGCCACACACTCAGGGCCCAAAGCCTGGAGCAGAGGACCTCCCCTCCCCAAGGTGTTCTCCAAAGCTCCCCCTGCAATGGCTGAATGTGTGCTCCCCCTCATTCATAGGCTGTCTAATCTCAGAGATGTTAGGAGGTGGGGCTCTTCAGAGGCAATTAGGTCATAGGGTGAACACAATTAGTATCTTTGTAAGAGACTCCAGAGGGCTGGCCTGGTGTGCACCCCTATAATCCCAGCACTCTGGGAGGCTGAGGCAGAAGGATCTCAAGTTTGAGCAGTCTGGGCAACTTAGCAACTTATTGAGACCCTGTCTCAATGAAAAAAAGAAAAGAGAAGAAAAGAAAGAGGGCTGAGGATGTAGCTCAGTACTATGGCCCAGGGTTCCACCCTTAGTACCACCACCAAATAAAAAATCTATTGTAGACCACCTGTGTTCAGTGCATTGCTATAGCTTCCCAGACAGATGCAGACACCTCAACTTCCTCTTTCTTGGGACTCACCCCTGTGGTGACCCTGGCCCCTGCACTGCCATCTCTCTGTCTCTGTCCCTGGCAGGGATAGGGCCTGGCCGGGCTGGCGCCTCTCTCCCGAGCTCACATCTCCTTCCTGTCTCTCTCATCCCCGCCCTCCTCCCGCCCTCCCAGGGCGCTCTGAACCCTCAGGTCCCCAGGCACCGCCTTGCCATCTGTCCTCTGCTCAAAGCGGCAGAGCAGACACAGCTGGCCGGGCCTGGTCTCCTCCCGCTTCGCCCCAGCCTCAGCCCCAGGGCTCCCAGACTCTCTCCTCCTCGGTGATCTCATCCAATCCCAGATCTGATCCCAGCCTTAGCCTCTCTGGCTGACTTCCGGCTGGAGTGTCCAAGTCCCACAGGGCACAGCCCCTGTAATTCGCCCAGACCTGTTCTTGCTGGGCATTTCCCCCGCGGGAAGTGGTGACTCCATCTGTCCACTCCCCAGACTCTGGAGTCATCCCCGCCAGTGCATCCTCTCTCTCACTCGCCGTGCCCCACCCATCGGTGAATCATGGACCAATTTCAAAATTCAATCTTAGGATGGGCAAGGCAGTGCTCACCTGTGATCCCAGCACTCTGGGAGGCTGAGGCAGGAGGATCAAAAGCTCCAGTCCAGCCGGGGCAACCTAGTGACTTAGCGAGATCCTGTCTCAAAGTACAAAATCAAAAAGAGGGCCAGGGCTGTAGCACAGTGTGAGGGTGCTGGGCTCAATACACAGTATCAAAAAGAAGAATCAAACAAACTGCGACAAAGAAAAATTTTAAATTTTAGGCAAAGATAGGCTTCTTTTATTGTTTTTTTGAGACAGGGTCTTTCTTCATAGTCCGGGTTGGCCTTGAACGCTTGTCCTCAAATTTCCCTCCTTGGTCTCCTGAGTGCTGGGACTAAGGTACACACCAGCACGTTCGGCCGCTTGTTTGTGGGGTGGTTGTTGTTGTGTTTGCTCTTGTAGTGCTGGGAAGGGAACTCGGGATCATGCGCAAGCTCTGCACCACTGACCTACACCCCAGCCCTTTCAAAATTTAACTCTAAGGTCTGGGGATTTAGCTCAGTGGTTCTGGCACCTGCCTCAAAAGCACAACGTCTTGAGTTCAATCCCTGGTACAAAACAAACAAACAAAAAACTCCAAAATTTAACTTAAAAATTTTGAGACAAGGCCTGGTAAGTTGCCCAGGGAGAGTTTGGAGAGTCCGCACCAACCTGTGTCGTCCCGGTTTCTTAGCGCATGCGCTGCCAGAGCTACCCGGGTTCTTGCTGTCTGGGTGACCCCGTGCGGCTGGGGGCCCAGAGGAAGTCCGCGAAGGCCGCTTCCCCGGCGCGGTTCCCTCCGAGGCCAACAGGGGTCGCTGCAGAGCCGCGACGCCCCGGCCACCGCCGCCTCCTTGCACCACAGCTCCCGGCCCCTGTCGCCCACACTCCGAGCTGGCCTGCGAGCGCTGACCCAGTTGCTGGGCTGAGCCCAGCCCCGAATGTGGGGCACGGGACAGAGCCCCGACACCCTGCCCCTGTTGCACAGAGGCTGCCCCTCCCCCGCCGCCCTTGCCCGGCCCCAGCTCAGGCGGGGTGGCGTCCACCGTTCTCTCTCAACGTCCCCGTTCCAGGACAATCTCGAGTCTCTTTTCTTTTGTTTTCAGTACTGGGGATTGAACCCAGGGCCTTTGCCCTGAGCTATAGCCCCACTCCTTAAATAAAATATTTAAAAAATTTTTTGAAACAGAGTCTTGCTAAGTTGCCCTGGCTGGACTTAAACTTGAAATCTTCCTGCCTCAGCCTTCCAGAGGGCTGGAATTGCAGGCTTGATCTCAGTTGCCACCGGTCCAGAAGCCCCTTCCCCGTTCTGGAAGGAACTGAAGTGGGGAGGGAGGGGGTCTTTGTCCTTACGGAGTGTCCCCCACCCTGACCCCAGCTGTCCCTTCTGGTCCTCTGGTCGCATGGTCACCAACCCACCCTGGCTCTGGTTCTGTTCTGGTTCTGGCCCAGCCTGCCCTGCTCTCTCCACACCCCAAACCATCTTTCAGTTCACAGCTCACTCTTGGCCCGTGTGCTTGTCTTGCTTTCTAAGAGCGGTATTTATTTATTTGCATTTCCGTCCAGTATTCACCGTGCCAGGCCCAGGAGATGGAGGCGCGGCCTGCGGTCGAGTTCACAGTCTGGGAGACGGGTTTCCTGTGTGTCAGCTGAGGCTTCCCAGGCAGCCCAAAGGCCTCCCAGGGGGCAGAGGCTGCTTCCTGCTTCTCCCGCAGGGGCCTCACCCCGGGATGGGGACCGGGAGGCTCTCTGCTGCCGTCTGCAGCCTTCGCAGTTGGGTGGGGGCTGACCCGGGTCTGCAGCGGCCAGCTGGGGGAGGGGCTGGGGGACAGGCGGTTCCAGCAGGCTTCCTGCCTTCCTCAAAGCCTCGGGGCTTTCGGTCCGGCCCATGAGTCCCTGGACAGCCCGGGCTCGAACTCACTTGTCCCATGGGGCCACGTTCAGGTCTAGGTCAAGGGTCAATCCTCACGCTATGATTACAGCGCTCAGACCAAAGGGCCTTCAGCCGGGCCATCTGTCGCAGCCTGCTTCCTCCTCATTTATCCCATCCCCTTGTGCGCAGCAGCTTTCTAGAACAAAATCTTTAACCCCTTCCCTTTTTTGTGGCTCTGGTGATTAAACTCAGGGCCTTTGTATTAAACTACGTCCTCAACCCCTCCTTTTGTCTGAGACACCGTCAGCCCGCCTCAACCTCACTAGGACGTGACACGCATGCACCACCACCACGCCTGTCTCCCCTAACCCTGTGATCTGGCAGATGCTCTCCTGGCTCCCAAAAGCCCAGCTTCTAGTTTTCAGCCTTGGTCTCCGGATTAAACAGTGAGGAGCCCCATGGCAGTCTCGGGCCCAGGTTAGAGAGGGGCTCACGATTAGCCGAGGCCCACCAGGGCTTTCAAGAAAAAGGCTGGATCCCAGCGCTGAAGAGGAGAGGCCAAGGCAGGTGGCCAGGACAGAAGGAAGAGCAAGTGCACGGATACAGGAAGAACGGGTCTGTTTAATGACACAGATGGGTCTGGTTACAAACATCAGAAACTACAAAAGAAGGACAGGCAGTTACACGGTGACAGCGTGAGGATAGACAGGAGGGGACGCAGGCACAGTAGTCACAGCAGCAGAACATCCTTCGGGATGATACCTGTGACCAAGGGGCACATACGGGTCGCTGATGAGGCTGACACAGGTGGGTGGACAGGACCAACTGGCAGCCAGGGGGAGGTCAGGGAGAGCCAGGGGAGGCCCTGTGGCCCTGTGCCAGGGCTGGCCCTCCAGGTTGGTCACCCATGGGGAAATTCTGGGCCCGTCTGCCCCGGGCCTTGCCAATTCTAGGGCAAGTCCGTGAGTCAAATCCCTGCCTTGAGGGAGCCGAGTCCTGTTTTCCCAGAAGTGGAAAGGGGGGATGTGGGGAGCTGGCAAGCTGGGTCACCCCAGGCCTGATCCTTTGTGCTGCTGTGGACTCCACCTGCTCCGGAACTCCGCCCGAGTGCGACCAGGACCCTCGAGCCTCACAATGGGCGGGTGGGGCGAGGGCCCCAGGCTGCAGACACACATGGTAGATATGTATGTGTGCATATATATATATATATTCATATTCATAGAGATTGTATAGAGAATATATCTGTATAGTATATGGTAGACACGTGTGCGTGATACTCTAGATGGTGAGGTGCAGACCTGCATGCTGGTCGGCACGATGAAACGGGGCTGGTTCATTCCCGAATGACTCACAGACCTGTACCCGTTTCGCGCCAGCCGCTCAGCTAGGTCCTCCTCTAACAGCGAGTAGAAAAGCTAAGAGTGGGCCCCGCTCTGCAAGGTGGAAGGGTCCCCGCCCGCCCTGCTGCGCTGGGCTCGGCTTCCAGGCAGCCAGCGCGCCATCTCCTGGCAGCTCAGGGGACTGCGGCCGAGGCAGAGGTCTCCTTCGGGGAAGGCGAGTCGGGGTTCTTCCAGCTTCCTTGGCACCCAGAAAGGAAGGGTCAAGGAGGGTCTTCAGAACTCAGCCTTCTGCTCAAGGTGCTGCCAGGGAGGGGGAGCTGGGAGGGTCCTATGGCCCTGAAGAGGGCAGCGTGGTGGGTGGGCTGTGGACGAGACAGGAGATGGAATAGGTTACAAGGGTCAGGGAACCTGGGGGTGGTAGGCAGGGCACTTCCTGCTGAGATCCAGCATGGTGTGGAAAGTGATCAAGAGACCCAAGTTCTAGTCCTCCCTTTGCCACTAACCTGTTGTGTGTCTGGAGGCCCCTGCGAGCCCCAGATCCTTTCCTCTAAAATTCCGATGTCTGCTTTGCCTGCCTACTTGAGAATGGAGATGGGGTAAAACAGTATTTCAGGAGCTGCAAAGCACCGAACAAATCTGGGCTTTTTTCTATTCATTTGGAAATGTGGTACATTCTATTCGACCTGTCTAGACCTCCCCTAGCCCAAGTCTGGGTGCAGTCTGAGCACATGCAGCCCCCCTTGGCTTGCTGACCACACCCCTGCCCACTACCCCTCCGCCCACTCGAGATGCACACACCCCGAAACAGAGACGTTTAATAAACAGTGGCGTCTGGCCCACCCCTGCCTCCCTGATAAGAGGAGCTGGCGGGGGCGGGAAGGGGCCGCACTCCAGAACCCGGCTCTGAACTCGCTCCCACCCTCTGAGCCTGTGTGATCCTGGCCATCCCTCTGCTCTGCAGGCCTGGGACCTGGGATGCACACCTCCTCTAGGGTCCACATCCCATTCCTTTGGGAGACCAGGGTGGAGTGCAGGGTGAAAAGGGCTGGCTGGGGGACCTCAGTGTGGGTGCCTTGGCTGGTCCTCCACATGGCCCATCTCCATGCGGGCCATGAGGAGCAGAAGGTGGGGGGGGCAGATGAAGCCATTTCTGCATTTCTGATTTCTGCATGTTTGGCTCCATCTAAGTCCCTGGGGTCCAGTGGGGGCCAGAGAAGGGGGGTGCCTGCCATGTGTTTCTGATTCACAGAGGCTCAACCGCCAGCTCTCTGTGCAGTCCCTCTAGGCCCCCTGTAAAAAAGCCCTTTTCTCAAAAAGCAGGAAGTCTTGTCTCCGGGCTGTAAACAAACCCATCTGGGGGCAGCAGAGCCTCCTCCTCCTGGGGAGAGGAGTTGGAGGGAGGGCGAGTCCTCCCTCCCGTTTCCCTTCCCGCTGGCTCCTGCCTGGTCCCCCAGGGGACAGCTTCCAGTTAACCTCAGCTCTCCAGCTTGCCAGGACCCTCCTCTGGCAGGTAAAAAGCTCCTGCTTACTTCCCATCTACTCTGGGGTCTGGGGCAGGCCTGCACCCAGCTGTGCACATCTGGAATTGGCCTGGCTGCAGCCCCAAGTTCCTGAGCGCTCTGCTCAGCTCTCCTGGGGCGCTGCCTATGTGGGGGAGGATGTAGCACAAGCTCCTTGCCTGCTGGTCAGCAGCGGGAAGGGCAACAGGCCTGGGTTCCCCACTAGCCTGGGGGGACTTCCTCCTCAGAGGCTGGCCCGGGCCTACCACGCCTCAGGCCCGTGTGGAGGCTGGGGAAGAGACACTGAGGGTTCCATGGGAAACTGCTGGGAATGTTTCTTTACAGCACGTGTCCTGAGCCGCTGGCTGACCCTTGGCTTCCATTCCCACCTCCCTCCTCTCTCTCCTTCCTACTCCAGCCCTGCTCCCCTCTTCCATTCAGCTCCCACAGTCAGCCGGCTGCCCCTCCCCAGGGGCCAGAGTGTTCCCAGCCGCCTGCCACGTCTGAGCTGAGCCTTTCCCTCATGTTCCCCCGACAGCTGAAGTCACCGAGCCCGGCCACCCTCCTTGAGCCTGGGACTGGGAGCTGGCCTCGGGGTCAGCCTGGACGTAAACATCCCCAGAGAGTGTGCATGAGTGCCGCCCATGCCGGTCCGAGTGGGCCTGGGCATGTGTGTGCTTGCACATGTCCTCGTGATCCTCCTGGCTCTGGCCCTGTTGAGGCAGAGGGTGGTGGGAGCACTGGTCAGTGCTAGATGGAAAAACAGGCCCATGTGATTGGTGCTGGGGAGGAAGTGGCCACAACTGGTCTGGGCTGCCTGGAAGCCCCAACAGCCGAGCTGGCCACCAGGGCACTCTGTCAGACCTCCGCTCTCCTGGCAGAGGCCTTGGATCCTGTGCTCTCTTGCTCTAGGGAAAGGACAGTCTGCCCTAGGGGAGTTGGCCGCAGGCCTGTCGGTGCCGTAAAAGTGTCAGCCCCAGGACCCCAGGAGAGACAGAGGACATGGCGGGAGGCTGCCCAGCCCACCCTCACCCCCTCCTCACGTGGTGGTGTTGGGGACCTGCTGTACCCAGCCCACTTCCTTGTAGGCAGCAGTCACGTGGCTGTAGATGAGACCACAAAGCTTGGCCCAGGCTCTCTGTGCCTCTGGCGGGAAGTCATTGGCACACTCCTCAGCGATCACCTCCAGAATGACTCCAGAGATGATCTGGGGGTAAAGGGAGGAAGGGGGAGTGAATGTACGGACCGCAACCTCCATGGCCCCCAGGACCCACTTCTGCCTGTATCACCCAAGGAAATGGTTCCTAACCCGAGGGCCTGGCAGCTGTGGGAGCCAAACCCCTGAAGGAAGGGCCCAGCCCTTTTGTCCTCCCCTCCCCATGGAGGGGTCTTCTCCAGGGTAGGAGGCCGGGAACCCTGCTGGGCAGAGTGGGTGTGGGTGGTGGCGCTCCCCAGTGGCCTACCTTGAAGTACATGGGCTCCACCTTGTGCTTCAGGGCATGGGCTTTGCCCACGAGAGCCAGCACGGAGGATACCTTGTCGGGGTCGTGCAGGTTCTCCACCACGGTGTTGAGGGCCCCTACAACCCGGCAGGCGTGCTTCCGCAGCTGGGGGCTTCGCTCCATTTCCAGTGGCTCCTCCATGTGTTTGAACTGGCTGAAGTAATGCTTGGCCGAGGGAAAGTTCACAAAAAGCCTGGTGGGAGCGGGGTGCGTGTGTGTGTGTGTGCTGGAGCAGGGGCTTCTCCTCCTCTGCACCCCTTGGAGCAGCCAGGGATGGTGGCCAGGGTAGGGGCTGGAGAAGCAGGATCCGCCCCCACTTCTCACCCCAGTAACTTTTCACTACCACAGGTAGCTCTCCCTCCAACACAGACCTCCCTCTGCTGGGGTCCTGCCATGTCTACGGACATTAGGCTGGCAGCTTCCTGTTGCAGGCCTTTGCTTGCCTCCCTCCCTCCCTCCCTCCCTCCCTTCCTTCCATTACAGACAGCTAAGTTAGGTAGAAATATTATAGGCAGTCAGACAGGGCTAAACCTTGGAAGGAATCAGGGCAGAAGAGAAGGACACTTTACAACCGTGGCTGGAGGCGCATTCATTGAAGGCCAGGGCTCAAGATAAAGATGGAATGACCAGGCCTACATGCCTCCCCGAGGGATACTAGCATCAGTATTACCTGGTCTAATACAGTCTAGATAGGCATTAGTCACCCGGTTGGGTGACCAAGACCTCCTGACTCTTCCAAAGAAGGCCCTTGTTCTTTCCAGGTACACTTGCTATGTGACCTGCTTTTCCATTGGATCGATATTACCTAAGTTGCTATACTTGTAATCTTATTGGTTGATGGTAATTTTGGTCCACATTGTACCCACCTCATGGTTTTGCTCTATAAAACTTCCTCTATGAAGTAGGCTGGTTTGCAACCATTTTCGGGGTCTCCTCCTGTCTCTGTCAGGAGCTGTCTCTCTCTCAATAAAATTTTGCTACTCTTAACCTCCGTTGTGCCTCAGAATTCATTCTTCGATTTTGAGAACACAAACTTGGCATATTGGACATCTAACAAATTGGGAGTTACATTATTTCTCTTGTATCATTTGGAGGTCCTATATCACTTCCTCCCTCCCTCCTTCCCTCCCTTCCTTTTTTTGTGGAATTGGGGATCAAACATAGGGAATGCTGAGCTACATCCACAGCCTTTTTTATTTTTTAATTTTGAGATAGTCGCACTAAGTCCCCCAGGCTGTGTTCAAACTTGCAATTCTCCTGTAGCTGGATTGCAAGTTTGGGCCTCCACACCCAGCTCTTTCTAGATTCCTATCTCCTTTCTGAACCTGGCATGTCCTTCAATGCCTGGCCCAGTCACTACTGACAGGCTCAGAGTTGGGGCTCTGGAATCACAGCTCTATTATTCTCCATTTTATTTTAATTTTTAAGAGATGGGGTCTCCTTATGCTGCCTAGGCTGGCTTAGAACTCCCAGGGTTCAAGCAATTCTCCTGCCTCAGCCTCCTGAGTAGCTAAGACTATACTGGTAGGTGTGTGTCACGGCATCCCGCTTGTTATTCAGCTTTTCTAAGCCTCGGTTCCTTGTCTGTAAAAGTGGGTATCATTGTTCCTATGCCGTGGGCTGTTGTAAGGATGGAACAAGAAAGAGCCTGTCCTCACCGCAATGTCCGCAGGATGCGCCGACTTGGTTATTATTTTATTATGACAGAGTTAGAGCTCACTTTATGAACAACATCAACTGGCTAAGGTCACTCAGCCAGTGAGAAGACACAAGACTTAGTCCCCTTTCTCCTGCTCAGTCTCTCCTTTCCTTCCCACGCTGATCCCTTCCTCAGCCTGCAGTCACTATCGGTCAGCTGGTTTAATTAAAAATAGCAATTGATTTTTACCTACCTGGAGAGGGTCTGGTGTTATTTTGTACCCAGAAGTCTTAGCTCCTCAGTGAGCTGGCAAGCTCTTAGAGCAGACCCCAGGCTCCCTAGCTCCAGCCCGTCTCCTCTCCAGTTTGTCTGAAATTGTCTAATTCCCCCAAATACTGTTTTCATTCTGTCACTATCGTGCTCAAAAGCATTCAGTGGCTCCTGATTGTCTACTGGACAAAAATAAAAACTCCCTAAGCCGACACTCCAGACTTCTCACAGACCGCCCTGCTGCCGCTTCTCCAAGGTAGTGGCCACACTGTGCCGACCCAAGTCACCTTGCTCCAGCCCTGTGGCTTCACTCACTGCAGGTGACAGTGCTCAGGCCGGCTGTCTCCTGTTCCTGGAGGTTGGTGCATTCCTGACAGACTATGCCCTGTGAGTGCCCAGACTGGCCCCGGCCTGCTGCTGTCCCCTCCAAGCCATCAGTGCTACTCAGGTGGCCTTGCCTGGTCCCTTTTAGTCTGTGGGGCTGGACCCCAAGCCCACAGGCAGAGGCCAGGTCTCATGCACACCCTGGCCATTGCCCAGCCCAGGGTCCTGCAGGGCACAGAGCAATGGCAGTGGGGGGCTGTGTGGCACAACGCTGGGCTCAATCATAACTTACATAATTTCACGGCTCCCGAGGGTCTTGGACCTGTTTTCTCAGGTGTTTCCACCCCTTGGCAGGTCCCCTTTGTGATCAGAGAGCTAACAATTTGCCAAGCTAGCCTTCTGGCCGGGGGTCGAGTCTCAGCAGGGACCGATGCAAAGAGGGCAGTCCATGTGGAGGCTGAGAGGGCCCCTCTTTGAGGCTCAGTGTGACCTTAGACAAACCACTGCAGGCCCTCCCTGTCTGCAGAGACCAGTGCCAGGGGAGCCCTCCCGCTGGCTCCTCTGCAGACACCCGGGTGAAGAAAAATGAGGCAAAGGGTCTGAAAACATATCATTGTTTTCTGGAGAAGCATTGTAATGAGGCACAGATGTGAAAGCCCTGCCTGGACTTAACTGGGCACCTCAGACTTTGATGTTTTTATTTGTAAGGCATCACCACCTCTCTTACTGTATTTAATTGCCACAACCAAGCAGGTATTCTGTCCATCCAATTGCTGAGGAAATACCCAGGAATATTTGTCAAGCACATACAATGTGAGCTCATGAATTCTTGTCATACCCTCCTGAGGTTAGCACTGTTTTTACTCCCGCTCATGGGCTAGGAATTGATGCCTATGGTTGCCCAATAAGGTGAATGGCAGCACTAAGAAAGAGCCAGGCTTTGAGGGCTCTCAGGGTGTTTGGAGAGACCGCTGGGCAGGGGGCTGGTGGCCTGGGATTCAGGTAAATCTCCTGCCTCAACTCCCAGGGCTTTGTGGTGGCCCTGAGGAGAGCTCTGGGGAGTTCCAGCCCACAGCCAGGGGACCTCAGGGGCCTGGAGTGCTGCACCTGCCGCCTAGCCGCTCCCCCTGCCCCCGGTTACCTCCCAACCCTCCCAGGCTGGCCTGCGATGCCAGGAGAAGCCTCAAAGCCAGTCTCCGGGAGTTTCTCAGCTGCAGAGGCAGCTGGGCTTCCAAGAGCCTGAAATAGGCTCATCTGAGTGTGAGGGAGAAGGTGTTAGCGTTACAACTGGGAGGAGGGTGGGTGTTCCCTCCCGGTCTCCTCCCGGCAGTGGAAGTGTGGGGTCTGCCTCAGAGCCCCAGACAGCTCCTCCTCCTCCACCACCGCCTTGCTAACTGCTGGAGGTAGGGTGTGGAGGCCCCTGCCTCTTCCTTTTCCCACAGGCAGAGAGGGGCAACTGCGTGTGCATGCGTGTGTGTGCGTGCGTGCGTGCATGTGTGTGTGTGTGTGTGTGAGTGGCAATGATCAGAGGGCCAGTGTCTCAGGCTCTAAACAGGACCTGGTCCTGTGGATGTGCAGACTGTAGGTGGACAGATGAGGGGTCATGACAAGTCTCATGGGCACAGGAACTAGACAGGGACACAGGAGCCCTGAGAAGCTGGTGGCTCTTGTCTTTGTCCCTTCCTACCCCTCTCCCATTGCCCAGCCCCTGGGACAGACATCAGCAGGAGGAGGACAAGGACAGGAAGGCCTGTAGGACTGGGAGCTGGGAAAGAGTGGCTGAAACAGTGCTGGCCCAGGTTGTCCAGGTGGCCTGCTGTGCACGTAGGGCTGGGGACAGTGAACTGTGGCCAGGGTATCAGCAGGCCATGTCTGAGCGCATCTTGGGCTGTCTGAGATTAACTGAACGCCTTTATCTGAAACTGAGCTTACTGGTATATACCCTCCCTCCCCAGTGTCAGGAACGGGCAAGCAGCCAGAAGGGCATGCAGAGAAAGAAAGAAGGGGCTGGGGTGTAGCTCAGTGGTGAGCGCTTGCTCAACATGCACAAGGCCCTAGATTCCATCCTCAGCACCAAAAAACAAACAACAACAAAAAAGTGGAGAGAAAAAAAAAACCATGCCAAGAGCTCAGCTCAGAGATACAACAGCCCTGCCTGCCTTGGGCCTTAGCTCCTTTCTCTGCCCATCCCAAATTCCTGGAGAGAGAGAGAGAGAGAGAGAGAGAGAGAGAGAGAGAGAGAGAGAAAGGGAGGGAGGGAGGGAGAGAGAAACCACGGAGGGTGCTGACAGGATCTGGGGCTCAACAAACCTGGAGGAAAATGTCCAAGGTCCTGGGGCCCCACACCCGTGTGTCCAAGGCCACTCAGCCGTGGGCCGACACGGCCAGGCACAGCCCTCCAGTGCAGTCTGGCGCACCTGCGAGACTCTGCTCCCCACCGCGAGCCCGTGTGGGTGCCCACACATGCCAGGCAGGCTCCAGCGCCTGTGGCTTCAGGATCCCAACCCCTTTCCTAGCTTCCCACCGCCCCCACTGGGTCCCTGCCTGGAGCTGCAGAAGGAGCTGCCCTTCCTTGGGAGCTGCTTCTAACTCCTCCCAAAGCGCTATTTCCTCTTGTCCTCCAAATCTCTTTCTAAGTTGGAATGGGGACTATCAATATGGAGCTGGTAGGTCCCAGATTTGGGGAGGCAGAAGGGAGAGGGGGAGCAGGGGAGAAAGAGGAGCCAGCGACTCACAGGACTGGGAGACTCTGAAGGGTCTTCGCACAGCGAGGTTCTGCCCATCTCCACACACATGGCTGCCCTGCTCTGTCCCAGACTTGGCAGCCTCCTTCTGCCAGGGTTCAGGGGCTCAGGCTGAGTGTTTTGGGTTCTACACCTGGACCCTGGGCCCAGCTTGTGCGGGGAGAGAGTCTAGATTTGATCTGCAGCTACAGTTTCTAGTGCGTGGGGCTTGGGGACATCAACTTGCAGGTGTGTGTGCATCCGTGGAGCGCCAGGTCACTGGGCGGGGGCTCAGCGGTGCTGGTGCCTGAATGAACCCTGCCTCACTGCGCGTCCTCCCTGGCTGGGGTTTCCAGGGCAGGGCCCTGTTTCCCCAGGCTTCTGTCTCCCCTCACCAAACTCAGCAGGGACTATATCCTAGGGGACCGTTTGGTTCTAGCTCACCTGCGCCTCACCTGGCGCTCCCTGTTGGGGCCCCCCTAAGGACAAGGAGGCGAAGCTGGGAAAGGTAGACCTTCGCTGTCTACTCCTCCTGACCTCTCCCCTTGGCTCTGTTCTTTCTAGGCGCTGAGCTGGACGGAAGGGACTGCCCCTCTCTGCGCCCCTTCTCGGCTGACGAGCCTCAGTTTCCCCCGTCTCTAACGGGGAATCCCTCTGACCTTCAGAGGAGCTGTAAAATGTAAGAGCATACAGTTCTGCGACGGGTTGGCTGGAGTCCTCGGGAGGGAGACCTGGGAAGCCAGGAGTTCGGGGGCCAGGGAGGAGCGGGGCGACCGAGGTGCCCTCCTGTGTCTGGCTCCCAGTTCTCGCTGAGCCCCACGCCCCGAGCCAGGGAGGGCTCAGCCTGGGCTTCGATCTCCCGAGACGCCCCACGCTGCGCGCGCCCCCGCCGGCCCGGCCAGCCTCACTCGCAGCTGGGGAGGCAGCGACGGAGCTCGGACCCGGGCCGAGTCGCGTCTCCACAGAGCCGCCGCCTTCCCTGCCCTGGGCCCGGCCGGCCGGGAGACACCTACCTCACCAGGATGGCCACCCCCACGTCCTCGCAGTTGGCATACACCCGGGCCCACGTAGCCTGCACCGCCTTCCTCTCCGCCTCGGACAGCTCCTCGCTCCGCTCCCGGCGCTCAATCTCCATCTCGCCCGGCACTTTCTCCATGAGCAGCTCCAAGCCCAGCCCGGCCTCGCTCGGCGGCGGCAGGCGCGGGGCGCCGGCTGCGTGCGCGGCGGGCGGGCGGCGAGGGGCAGAGCGCCGGAGGGAGGGAGCGTGTGTGTGCGCGCCGGGCGTGAGTGTGTGAGTGTGAGTGTGTGCGTGTGCAGGGTGTATGTGGGGGGAGCAGGGGGCGGGATGTGTTCGCTGGAAAAATGTTTAAAAAATAAATGCGCTCCAAACCCCCAGTTCTGTGTCGGTGAGCCGATCCTGGCAAGGTGAAGGCTGGGCGGGGTGCGGGCGAGCGACGCGGCTGGCGCTTGCCCGCCCACCCGCAAGGCCACCGCGGGCCCCGCGGGCGGGGCGAGGGTAGGTGTGGCTGAGGCGCCGTGGGGTCCCTGGAGGATCCGGCGGTCACGCGGCGGCACCGGAGTGCGCTCCGGCGGGCGCGGGACGGGGCCAGCGGGGCCCGGCTCCGGCTGCGCGCGGCGTTTGGCTGTGTGCAAATGCGCACCCTTCACGCGGGCGGCGGGGAACTGGCTGCTCAGTCAGGCGCTCCCAGGCACTGACGGCGAGTGCGGCCGCGGTCCGCCCGAGGGGACGAACGCGAGGTCCGGGACGCGCAGAGCCCGGCTCCTGCTCCGCCCCCGCCCCCACCCCGCTCCGCAGCCGGGCGAGGCGCCACTCCGAGACCCCACCCCAGGCTGTGGACCCCAGGCTCTGGCAGGTTGAGGACTGGGGTCGTCTCCCTGCCCCCCTACGGCTCGGGCTGTCCTAACTTGGCCACCCACTGGCCTCTGGCTTCCAGAGGCCTGCGCCCCCTTTCCGGCCCGCCAGCACCCCCTCTCCCTCAGAGCGCGGTGGGAAGTGGGTCAGTGCAACACCGGCTGACCAGAGCCCGCTGTCCTGACTTCTGGTCCTGGCGTGGCAGAGGGAAGTCCCAAGGAGAGGCACGGAGGATGGCACCACGCGGAGGCCCTGGGGGTCAAGGCCTCCTGAGGAAGGCCCTGGCCCTGCAGGCATCTCAGCCCCACCAGGGTCCCAGTTCCCGGGGGGGCAGGGGAGGCACAGCTTCCACCTTCTTCGTGGGGGCTGCTGGGGAGGGTGGAGATTGGGCCAGAGGTGCCGGACGGTGCTTCCCAGAGTCCCCTGTCCCCTCAGGCGGCTGCTGAGTTCTGGGATGGCCAAGCCCATCTCAGACTCTGGGTGGAAGCCTAAGGCCACAGAGGGCCTGCAGTGTGGGACACCGAAGTCACAGTACCTCTGGGGTCTCTGGTTCTCCCTGCGGTTCCCTGGTGACCCTTATCCTGCCCAACGCTTGGGTGTCCCACAGGCTCTGCTCTTCAGCTTTGGTTCATGTCTTTATTTTTAAAATCCAATTTCAAGGTTGAGAGCCCAAGGAAGCATGGAGAACCCTGGCTGCGCAGGGGCCCTCCCTGGGGCTCAAGGTTTAGGCGCCCTGATGGGACCTCCCAGGGGGAGGAAAACTGAACACCTTCTGTAGGTCTTGGCTGGGTGCAGGGGAGCGGGGTTCTTCCATCACTGTCAGGCCCGTGTCCTGGCCGGCTGTCGCTGGCTCCATGTTCCACACATCCCAATCTCCCCTAATAGTTTCCTGCAGCTGGTGTGGAAACTTCCCCCAGAGGCCCCCTAGGATAGAGAAAGAAACCAGGAGAAATCTCATTTCATTCTTTATCCATTTCATGTGTCTTACAGTATAGGAATGTGTCTGTACAGTAGTCTAGTATACAGTGTATGAGTTTATACTTTATATACAATTATATAAGATAGTTATATAAGGTATAATTTGCATCTATTTTGTGAGTGCACTCTTACATTCCGCCTTTTACTAGAGGGTGTGCACTCAGAAAAGTTTGGGAGGGCTAACGGGATGGAACTGAGCCAGCCCTGCGCTCTGTGGCCGCCCTTGTCTTCCTGGCTCCATCATCAAATATCCTTCCCCTCTCCTCCTCCCGTCTCGCTGCTGCCTCCACTGTGACATCATTGCTCTTGGCTCATTACCGGAAGATGCATGAGTTTTTATGTCTGCAGCCCCCGCAGAGCCTCCTGAGGGTCTGGAAGTTCCGATGTCCCCAGGTCCTCTTTGCAGCTTTCCTGCCGGCCTGCAACTCCAGAAGTGCTCCAGGGCTTCAATGCCTTGACTGTAGTTACTTACTTTACTGAACAGCTTTTTGGTTTAGACTGGCAGCCCCTTGAGGACAGCCCAGCGACTACCAAGTCTACCTTCTGCATATGCTCACCCCGAAGGGGCTGATGTACCCAGCCACCAGAGGGGAAAGCTTGGGTCCAGTGAGGTTAATCAGCCTGCTCAAGGTCAGGGCTGCTGACCCCACTAAGCAGCTTGAGCCTCCTAATCCATTGCCCAGCAGGAGAGCTTAGGGACAGACACAGACGGCAGTGGCTTGAGAGAGCTGGCCAGGGCCATTTGGTCCCTGGCCTGGGGCCTTCTGCAGATTCAGCTTGGAGGGGATGGGGCAGCTGAGCCATGTGCACCACCCTCTTCCTGCTCAGCACCTTGGCCATGCTCTGTCGCCGCCGATTTGCCAACCGGGTGGAACCGTGAGAAACTGACTGGGCTCTGGGGGTGGGGCCATGGGTCATGGGTTATGGATTACAGCCAAGCTGAAGTGGGCTGCCACTGCCTTGACCTCCAGCGGGCTGGGAGGGGAATTGAAGGAGTCCCTGAGAGGGTCACTCTCAGAGCCTCTGGCCCCACAGCCCTAGGTGGTTGGGCTGTGGGGAGGGGCTGGGCAGGGCCAGGCACTGCCCACAGCTTTCCCTGCCTGCTCTTCTTTCCCACAGAGAGCCCACTGGAGCAGATGGGGCAGTTACGGGCAGCAGCTCAGATGTGGCCCTCCAGTCCTCAGGCAGGTGAAGCAGATCAGGGGGAGGGGAGGGAGGGGCTGCCATGGAAGCTGTTGCTGTGTGTGTGCGTGTGTGCGTGTGTGGTCGCCCTGCATGCCTGGTAGGCAGGACAGATGTCTGTTTTCCCCAGGTGGGAGAGGGGAGGAGAGTGTGAGCCCCTGGCCCCTACTCTGGACCAAAGCTGCACTGCCTTGCTTCTGTGAGTGCCCATACTATGTGTGTGAGCCGTCCCCAGGAGTGCCTTCTGTCAGAAGGAAGGCACAGGGGAGTGGGAGAGGGAGGGGCAGAGGCAGCTTTGGGGTGCTTTGCTCACCCGTCCTTGCCCTTCCCTCCCCCTCTGTCTCCCTCTGCCCCCCCCCCCACCGCCTCAGCAGCTCCACTGCCTGAACCTACAGCAGGATTCGCTGTCCAGTCCCCAATAGAAGGTGCAGAAGGAGCATGACATCATCAGCACCGAGTGCCATTGGCTGGGCAGTCCCTGGGGCAGGAAGCTGTCTCCAGTGGTCAGAAAGTTAACTCTTCCCTAGGCGGAAGCCATGTGGCCATTAGGGGGTGTGAAGTTATGAAGTTCTAGACTTTTCCTCCCCTGGCTCTTTGGTAGAGGCTCATAAGACCAAGAAGACACTGAAAAAAAGTCAACCAGTATCTATTCAGGACCTATGTGTAGTTGTTTTGTATGTGCCTATGGACCACACCTAGCGTTGGAGACCTTTCTGAAGAGCGATCTCTCATCCCTACTGAAACAGAGCAAAAAAGATCTAGGGGGTAGGCATGGTGATACATACCTGTAATCTTAGCACTTTAGGAAGCTGGGGCAAGAGGATTGCAAGTCCAAGCCCAGCCTGGGCAATTTAGGGATTTGGCTAGACAAAATACAAAACAAAGAGGGCTGGGCATGTAGCTCAGTGCAAAGGCTCTGGGTTCAATCTCCAGTATTGGGAAAAGAGAGAGAGACTGACTGACTCTGGGAGGCCCTCTGGCTCCAGGGCCCACTGGTAGGAGGGTGGAGTACAGCTCCTCAGGTTGGGAGTACAACTCCTCAGGTTGGGAGTACAGTCTGCATGCATATCTGGGACCCTCCATGTCTCTGGGTGGAAGACCTGCCTGCAAGGTGCCCCTTAGATGTGTAGAAACTGGCAAGAGAGAGAACTTGAGTCTCTCTCTAGTCTCCTGTCGTCTTGGTCCTGGAAGTCTCCCAGATTTGGACTGTCATAGGCCCAGTGTGAGTGTGAAACAGGCATTTCAGAGATACCTTCCTGACTCCACAGCCAGCTAAGATCATCCAGACAGTGCTCAACGGTGTTACTAATTAAACTGACATACATAGTATGACTATCACTGGGCCTCACCTGCAAGAGGCATTCAAATGCTGGCTGGTCCTCACTGCTGTTTGGTTGTGGAATTTAAATCCTGGTTCCTCTCTTACTGAGAGACTTTGGATAATTTATGTAACCATTTTATTTCTTATAAACTGGAATTAGTAACAAAGTGGCTATGGGTTTCTGTGAGGACACAGAGTAAACTACTTGGCAGTTATTATTTTACAGGGTCAGAGCTTTATTCTTCCCCAGCGGTTTCTCACATAGTTACTCACGTAGAGGAGGGTTGTCAGGACATGTGTTTTCTACACCTCTTACTAATGGTTAAGAAAACTGAGGAACAGGAAGATTTGAAGGGCTTGCTTAAGATCACCCGTCCACTTTGTGTCTGATGTGGGACCATCAGGCCTCTGACTTTCAAGCAAACTCTCTTTTGCCTGAAATGGGCCTGGCCCTCCTGGCAGGAGAGGAAAGGGCAAATCTGCAGACCATCTGGCCAGGCCTGGCCTAGAGTGATTTAGTCAGACTTGGGATCCAGTTATCTGGAAAAATTGGTCCGACATGGAGGAACCACCTGCTGACAGTGACCGCCACAGAGGGCTGGCTGAAGGGAGCATAGGGATGAGATTTCTGCTTTCCAGTTCCAAGTCATAAATTCCAACTTGTTTCTTAGGTACTCCTTCCCTCAATATCTGATGAATGGCTAGGTGTGGGGGTACAAGGAAGAAGAGAGCCAGAAATGTGAGTTGTTCTTTTCCTCCAGTCCTTTGACTCCAGTGCTTTCCTCCACTTAGGGAGAAAGAACCTCTGAAGTAAGCCTTCACTTCGTCAGGCTGGGCTCAGCTCTGGGGACTGGGATCAGCTGGCCAGGCAAGTAGGGCAGGGCCAGGAGCCCTGGAGGGCAGAGGGTAGAGCTGGGTCAAGGAAGAAGAACCCAGGTACACCAGGCAGTCTTCAGCTCTGTGGTCACTGGTGGAGGTGGAGTGGGAGGATGGTCATTCATTCAGCACCTTCTTCAGCCTAATACCTTCCAGGCCACGGGCAAGGGCTGGCTAGAGGAGAACCAGGTATGGGAGAAGTGGTGGCTGTGCCGAGGCCTGTGGATCGTGCTGGAGAACTTCTAACAGGAGGTGGTGCTCCGGGATATCCCTTCTCCAGTCCTAGGCTGGTCTGTGTGCATGGGAGAAAGCAATGATCTGTTTGGCCTTCTGTTTCAGTCCAAGTCTTTGTTTGACCTCCAGCCCAAGAGGACACGATGGGTACAGCAGTTGGGAGAAGGAGAGAAGCAGCAATGGAGAAGGTAAGCTCCTCCCTTTCGGCCCCTGGACAGACCCCCGCTGTGGGGCTCCTGAGTGAGGCCTATTTGGGGCTAGGGATAAGAATCGAGCTGCTTGCTACTCTTGGAGTTCCTGGGCATCCTCTGAGGGACAGAGGAACCCAAGAAGGGCCAGAGAGAGGGACTTGCTGGGGTCCACCGGGTTAACTCTAGGGCAGCCCAGCAGCTCATGCAAGAGGCAGAACCAGCAGAGAGTGAGGAGCATCCAGAATCAAGGGACAGTGGCTAGCTCGTGTGCATGAGTCGGGGGCTTTTATCTTTCTCCAGTTGATTCCTCACAATAACCCATGGAGATGATCTGCATTGTGTAACTGAGGACAAAGAGGCAGGTTCAATAACTTGCCCAATGTCACCTACACTGCTAAGTGGGGGACCCAAGGCTCACCTGGAGGCTGCAGAACCTAACCCAGTCTGCAGCTGCTTGGTGAAAGGGGGAGTCTGCTAGCTTGGGCAACTGTGTGACAGAGCCCGATCGATTCTATTAAAGCCGGCTTGTGGTCTAGGGCTGTGTCGGTGTCAGTTTGCCACAGTGGCCATTTTCTGTGGCATTTGCCTCTCCCCAGAGCTCACCCTGTCATTTGGCTGCTCTGCTGAAATCATCAGTAAGAAAGGCCTGCTGGATCTGTGACATGTCTGCCTGCAGCTGGATGGGAGCAGTCACCAGCTGGTCTTCTGAATGTGTTTTCTGTGTGTGTGTGTGTGTGTGTGTGTGTGTGTGTTCCAAACGGGCAGTCGTGTGTGGGAAGGGAAGAAGCATGACACTTGTTTTTGCCAATGTGCTGACTGCTCAGTAATGGTGGTGGCCTCCTTTGCCCCCAGCTGCTCTGCCATTTCTCTCTCTTTACAGTCCTGCTCGAACCTGAGCAGAGATAAAAGCAGATTTCCGCTCACTCACAGATCCAGGCGCAGACCCTGCAGGCAGCTGCTCCCAACTGTCTCATAGCCATTAATCTTCAAAAGCCCCCCTAGTCCCCCACTCAGGCATCTCTCCTCCCTGGCCAGCCCCCCACTGCCAGCCCTGCAGCCAAGTCTGCCTGGCTGGCCTCTGCCCTTGACTTTCAAGCAGCAGGAGATGGGAGAGTTCTCTAGACAGCAGCACCCAGCCACTGCTCCACCTCCAAGGGGAGGCAGTGAGAGGTACCAAAGCCGAGAGGGAACCCACTCTGAGGCTGAGGGAGGAGGCTGGAGTCTGCTGATGCTGCAGGAGCCTTCCGTGGGAGCTTCTCAAAGGAGGGCAGGGAGGAGGCAGGAGAAGGTCGCCTCAGGAGAAGGAGCCCGCCAGAGCCAGAGCGCCTACCTGACCCAGGCCACGAGCCCGTGGCCACCTGTCTCAGCTCCTGTCAGTCCTGTCTTCCTCCTGGGAGGCGTGAGCCTTCCCAGTGACAGGAGTGTCAGGCTGAGGGCCAGAGGGCGCTGTTCCCAGGACCCCCCGTCTGTGTTCCCTGATCCCATCCTCGCCGCCCTCGTTCTCTAATCTACTTGCCATGTTCCTGTCACCTCATCTTTGCCTCCACTCTCTGCCATCGCTCAGTTGCCCGCCTCCTTCCAATGGTCTGTGGAATTGTCAGACCAAGGTTACGGAGCGGGCACACAGGGCTGGCTCCAGGCCCAGGCCCCCTTCCACAGGGTGGCACCCCTTGGCAGCACTGTTCGGTGAGCCTGGGCAGGATTCAGTCCAGGTGAAGGGTGGGAAAGAGAGAAGGGGCTGCTGGCAGTGGGGCATGTGGCTGCCTGGGTTTGAGTTTGCTTGGGCCTGGCAGCTGGGGTGCCATGTGGGCTGGGAGGGAGGGGCTCTCCCCCTCTCCCCCTCTCCCCCTAGGGAGCAGGCTGGCTTTGGTGGGAGCAGATTGTGTTTACACCTTCCCCGCACACCCAGCCCACGCTCGCCTCTTATTCCCGGGGCCTCTCCCACCCCTGGGTTCTCTGCGAAATCTGCACATTTGCAGCTCCTGCTGCAGAGTTGCCTCCCTCGGCTAGAACTCCTCTACCAGAGGCTCCCCGGACCCAGGAGCCCCTCCTTGGCCCCTTAGCTCCCATCACAGGGGTGGGTGTGAAACCTGGGTCAAGGGTGGACCCTTTTAGGGGGAGTCACTTAAATTGTGGCCATGACACTGTCCCCCCAGAGCGAGTCTTTTGTCTCCCTATTTCCTTGGAAAGACCCACTGCTTGGAAGTGGGAGCAGGAATGCTTAGGGGCTTGGTAGAGAGGGAGCTGAGCTGAAGAGCTGGGTTAGTCCTAGTTCACGATGCCGGCACTGATGAAATAACAGTGAAGGAGCAAAGAGCGAGGACTCCAGAGTCAGAACACCTGGATCTTCTTCCCTCTGTGACCTTGGGGTCCTTATGGCATGTTTCTGTGCCTCAGTTTACCTCCATACGATGGAGATAGTAGCACTTACTTCTGAGTTGGTGTGAGGGTTCAATAATGTACATAGTGATTAGCATACCTAGTAAGTCTTCCATACACGTGAGCTAGTACAGTTATCTGGGAACTGTAAGGTACTGCACAATGGCAGATTCAGAATATTTGGAGTTCCTCCCGTCTCACCCCATGGTCCTTCCCGCCCTGCCTTTCCATATACACAATCACTGGGCGATGGGCAAGTACAAAGCAAACTCGAGGAGGGCAGAGGGTACCCAGCGAGCCTGTACTGGCAACGACCACCCTGGCCTCTGGGTGTGCCCAGAATTCTGTCTCCGCCTCCATGGGGGTCTGGATCTGGATATCTCCCCTCAGCTGGCCCTGCTTCCCAAGTGCATCTCAGCTGCCGAGGAAGACAGGAGCCGTTTGCCCTCAAGCCTTTCCCCCTTCATCTGAATGCTAATCTTTCTGCTGGCCAGGGCCTGAGTGACAAGGAAGAGGCTGCTCAGAGCTGCAGGGTGCCCAAGGGTAGCAGCCGGAGCAGGGAGGTGCTGCTGTCTGCTCCTTCTGTGGCTGACACTCAGGGCTGCTTCCAGTCTCTCCTGGAGGTTGGAACATGACCAGAGAACTAATGAGGTGTTGGAAAGGAGCAAGGAAGTAGCCATGGCAGCTGCAGCAGCTGCTGCTGTCCTGCGTCAGCCTGGGGAGCAGATGTGGCTCTGGGGGAGTACCTGCCCATCTCAAACGTCTGGTGTGTATCTGTGTGTGTAGAATGGTCCTGAGAAAGGTGTGCACCAGAGGCCTTGGTCCAAGCCTACACGGGGAAGGCCTGGAGCCCAATTTGAGGCAGGCACAATGCAAGAGCCATGTACCCCACTCACCCTACAAGTGCCCTGGACCCCTCTGCAGGCACCTCACAGTCGGGTAGTAGCCTAAGCCCTTGAGCTAGAGGTAAGTAATGCTTCTTTGTGAGCCACCAAACGAGAATGGCAAAATGGCCTATGCTGAGGCTTAGGTTAATATAATGATAATGACCCTAAGAATGCTATTAATAATGGCTAACACGTATCAAAACTTTTTATGTGCTAGGCACTGTGCCCAGTGTCTTATTTATAAGCACTATCTCATTTATGAGGCAGGCACTGTTGTTATCCTCATTTACCCATTCAGGAAAGTGAAGTTCACAGAACCTGCTCAAGGTCACTCAAAGCTAGCAAGAAAGACAGGCCTGAGCCTGGGAAATCTGATGCCAAACCTTGGGGCAGACAGGACCAGAGTCTGGGTTGGTGAGGAAATTCCAGGTGTGACCTGTCAACAAGGACACAAGCACTGGAGCCCTATACCAGCCCTGGACATGTCTTTGCAGGGGCCAGGGTTATTCCTGCTGCTGTCTCTTTGAGGACACCTCAGGCAAGGGCAGACCAGTCTCTGGGGCTCAGAAAGGCCAGTCTTTGGCTGCTTGCTGAGGGGAGTGAAGAATGCCTCCTCAGGATCCATCAGTGTCCCTCAGGGAGGAAGCAGTCGCCCCTGGGAGGGATGAGACAGCAATCCCTGTCATTGCTTCCTTCAATCAGGGGCAGAACCCTGGGGAGAGGAGAGAAAGGCAGCCAGAAGCCCAGCTGGAGAGGAAGGAGTGCACGGCAGACTGTTTTGACCTGCTTGTGTTTGCGAGGGGAAGATATGGGCCAGAGACCAAAGAGGTGGCTTCAAGAGGGATTCAGGACAAGCTGGAAACAAGTCCTGTAGCTAAGGACCACAGACCCTCTCTGTGGGATACATGTGCCCCCTAGTGGGGGTTAAGACTAGATGGTGGCTGGGCTGAGGGTTTAGCTCAGTGGTTCCACTGCGTGCCTGGCAAGCGCAAGGTCCCAAGTTTGATCCCCGGTACCAAAACAAAAACAAAAACAAAAAGATTAGATGGTGGCTAAGAGAATTAAAACAAAAAAAAAAGATTTCCTGACCTTCTCAGCATGTGAGCTGGGGGAGGAAGTGCCAGTCTTGTCCCTAAGTGAACACACACTTAACATCATATGCAGAAGCCATGTGAACTAAGCATGGAAAGAAATTAATTTATTCAGGGGCCGGGGATTTAGCTCAGTGGTTTTGCCACCTGCTGCACAAGCGCAAAGACCCAAGTTCGATCCTCAGTACCAAAAAAAAAATTAATTTATTCATTTGATTGTTTACTTACAAGTACATATTGGGAACCTACAATGTACACACACTGAGACAGGTGTTGGGAGTGGAATGGTAATAAAAGAAGGTGTATCACTCTCTGCCCTTTCACTTAGTGCCATACAAAGATCTGGCCATGAAGCCTAGTTCTGCCAGCTTACCCTTGCCTGCTCATATAACCTTTTGTTCTCTAGACCTAGTTTTCTCCATTCAATAAACCTGTGTTGAACCTAGGTGATATTTAAAGGACAAATGACCTCTTTGGGAAAAGAACCATGGAGCAAAATGACGGGATGGACCAGATGATCTCAACGCCCCCACAGATTTTCCTCATCAAGAGACTGTCTGGAGGTGCTGACAAAGGCCTGCCATGTGACAAACATTTACAGAGTGCTGTGTGCCAGGCACTCTGGATACAAAAATGGATTAAGACCTTCTGCCACAATCAACCAGGAAACTGGACAAAATATAAGAAACAGACACTTGACAACGGGCAGCACACAGGACAATGACCCCATGATTGCCTTGGCCTCTGCCCAGAGACAATCCCCTGCTGTTCATAAGGATATCCTGTAGACCAATGGAAACCAAAAACAGAGCAACAAAGGTATCTCAGTGGAGAAAGGAAGGTCTTTTTTAACTGGATACAGAAAGCACTAACTGTAGAAGAAAAATCCACTGGACTTTTTCAAAGTTAAACTTGTGCTCTTGAAAAGACTGGGAGAAAATATCTGCCAAATATCTGAGAATAGACTTCTATCCAGAATATATAAAGAACTTTTACATTTCAATAATAAGACAGCACAGTTATTAAAAAGGGGGGAGGAGGACTGGGGATTTAGTGCAGTGGTTCTGCCATCTGCTTTGCAAGCACAAGGTCCCGAGTTTGATCCCCAGTCCAAAAAAAACAAGGAGGGGGTTTAATAACCATTATACCAAAAATATACATCTAATCAATGGACACATAGAAAGATGTTCAGTTCCATAAATCATCAGGGAAATGCAAGTCAAAAGCATGATGAGATACCAGTACACACCACCAGAATGGTTAAAATTAAAGAGTGACCATAATGAGGTGAGGATGTGGAGAAATGTAATCCTATAACAAAACCACTTGGGAAATCAGTGTGATGTTCTTTATAAATGAATCCAAGAGGAATGAAAACTTATGTCTACAAAAAGATTTTACAGAAATGTTCACAGCAGGTTTATTAACAATAGCTCCAAGGGCTGGGGATTTAGCTCAGTGGTTCTACTGCCTGCTTCGCAAGTGCAAGGACCTGAGTTCAATCCCTGGTACCAAAAACAAATAAACAAACAAAAAACAATAGCTCCAAACTGGAAGCAACCTAGTCAGCAACAGGTGAATGGGTAAACTGGGGTACCTTAATACAATAACACTCAGCAATAGTGAACTATGGACATCAGTAACAACATAGGTAAACTGAGAAGCTAGACACAAAAGGAGCACCTCATGTGGGATTTTACTTATGAAATTCTAGGACAAGCAAAACTAATTGATAGTGACAGAACGCAGATCAGTGGGTGACTAGGGCCAGGACTGGAATGGGGCTGACTGTAAAAGGGTACGAAGGTGCTCTTTGGGATGACAAAAAATGTTCTAGGTCATGTCTGGGATTATGCCTGTTGGACTCTAATGGTACATTTTGAGTGGATGTATTTTATTGACATATATTATACCTCAATAAAGATGACCACACAGTTAAAACAAGAACAAAGACCCCATCCTTGTTTTGCTCACAGCCTAGCAGAAAATCCAGATGGGGAAAAAATAATTCCAAAACAGTGTGATGAGTGTCAGAAACATGACCAAGCAACAGGCGCTCCCATTCACTGGGTGTTTATCTTGTTCCCAGGCCTGGGTTAAGTGCTTTGCATGCAGTCATACAACAGTCCCCTGAGAGTGGATGATCACCACGCCTCTCATTTTACAGATGAGAAAAATGAGTCTTAGAGCCAGGTGAAGTAATCTGTCCAAGGTTACGTAGCTAAAGTCAGCAAAGCCAGGACGTTCCTCCAGGCTAGTCTGATTGCAGAGCATGTGCTAAACCACCTGCCGCAAGAAAGGAGCCTTGACCAAACAGCTCAGGACTGCTGTAGCATCACAGTCAAGGCTACGAAGAGGAGGTATTTATGAGCTGGACTTTGCCAAGCAGGGGAGAAAATGAGGGGAATTTCAAGGCAGAGGGAACAAATATCACCACAAGAAAGGTTATGCAACAGTTGTGAGAAGACAGATTTCTGGGAACAGAAAGACATGTCCAGGAAATAGATAAGGGCCAGAGAACATTACATAGTCTTCAAATTTGTTTATTTTTATTTTTCTAAATTCTGTGTGTGTGTGTGCGTGCGTGCGCGCGTGTGTGTGTGTGTGTGTGTGACTAGGGATTGAACTCAGGGCTTTCATACTGAGCTACATCCCCAGGATTTCCCTAAAATGCTAAATTGCCCAGGCTGGGCTTGAATTTTCCATCTTCCTAAACCTCCCAGAGTGCTGGGATTATAGGTGTGTACCACCACATCTGGTTTAAAATAGTAACAGTTTTACTAAAGGCAACAGCTCTGCAGAGCAGGTGAGTAAAATGCATGGCTTTTCTTCCTGAATACTATTGTAAACTCAAAGAAGTAATCTACAACTCCAAGATCTCTATTCTCAAAAAATAGAGTATACACTGTTACATTTCTCCTCCTCCAGAAAGTTAAAGCTACATTCAGTGATCTAAGATTTTTGCTGAACAGGATTTGTGGCATTGATTGACAATCTTCAACGAAGAAAAAAATCCTGAATGTTTTCACGATGAACTTTGTAGGAGGATGAACTGAAATCACTGGAGTTATGCAAAAATGTTCCAATGTCACTGCAGAATATTTTGGGAAACATAGCATGGTGGTTATGTTAGCATCCTGTTACTATAATAAAACACCTGAGATAATTCTCTTACAAAGGTAAAAGTTTTATTTTGGCTCACAGTTCTGGAGAGTCCAGTCCGAGATTAAAGGCACTTGGGCCTTTGCTTTGGGCCTCTAGTAAGGCAGCACATCATGGTGGATGGGAGGTGGTGCCAACTGCTTAGCTCCTAAACTAGGAAGCAGAGAGGGAGGGAGAAGAGATTGAGGTCCCTAAATCCCTTTCAAGGATACACCCCCATCCCCTAAGGACCTCCCACTGAGCTGCACCTCCTACAGGTTCTACCACCTCCTCACACTGCCACCCCAGGGACCAACCTTTTAACATACAGGTCTTTGGAGGACATTCAACATCCACACTATAACAGAACTGTAACTCGCAGTCAAACCACTGTCTGGGATTTTCATGATGCATTCTTCCAGGGAATTATTCTTACATGCTAAAAAAGATACGGCAAGTGCCAATATCATTTAGGATGATTTTTACTCTAACAGAATGCCCAATTAAAATACCTTAAACAATACAGATATTTAAAAAAAAAAATCTCACCTTTTGTATTTGACAGAAACTGAGATGTCATTGCTCGTAAGACATAGCCTGCATTTGGAACTATTAAAAGGTAAAAATACATTTCTGAATCAAAACAAGAGGGCTGAGGTCAGGGTTTTAGGACTGGCTATTTCAGCAGTTCATTGGCATCACCAAGGACTTGAGTTCTTTTTTCTTTACTCTCTGTCTTCATAGGTCTTCAGCTCTTGCTTTTTATTTTGTACTGGGGATTGAACTCAGGACCGTGTGCTGAGCTTAAAGCTTTAGCTTGAGCTATATCCTCAGCCACTCAGCTCTTGCTTTGAAGGAAGCCTCACGGATGCAAGATGGCTGCAGCAGTCCCAAGTATATCTTCACAATGTCCCAAAGCCGGAAAAGAGGCTGTTACTTTTAAAAGCATAAAATTTTCCCAGACTTGGCCAGAATCACATTGCAGATAAGATGGAGGAAGAACAGCTTGCAGAAGGGCCACTACCAGTGCCTGCATACAGATGTACTTTGGTGCAACCACTCCAAGTGTCAACTGCCTGGGATACAACCTATCCTCTTTCATGTTTTTATTAATAAAACTAAAGATTCCTTTTACGGTTAAGGAGTTAACTTAATATTGCGAAGATTCTGTCTTCTATTACTGTGGGTTTTGGATACCACGTCTTAAGTCTATCAGTGACTGCCAAACACAGCAGACCAGCTGACTAACTCTTCCTTTGCACTCAGAGCCTGGGTCCGTGAACAGCACTGGAGACTCCTGGCCAATTTGGTTTGTGATCTACTTTTGTCACTTATAAATAGACTGGGATTCTTCCCATGTCAATAAATACAGAGCTGTACTAGTCTTGTTTAACAGCTATACAACAATTCCACTGTGTGTAAAACTCAAACATACTGGATCTCACCATGAGTAGAGACGAGATCACAGTAACATGAACACTTCAGTCCCAACCGCTCTGTCCTGAATGGCCAGCCGCTCACTCAGGGATTCTGATGCATTCTTTGAAGTTTCTCTGTTCTTTCTGGACCGCCTCCTCTGTTGTACCTCGCTTGCGCTCAGGCACAAGGCCTCTTGGCCACTGGCCAGCTGCCCGGAGCACTCCATGGATTGTGAAACTGCTGCTGTTCTAAGCACAACTGTGCTCTGCAGGGAAGCTGTGCCCTATCAGGTGTGGCAGCCACAGTGACTGTGGCTGAGGAGAGAGCTATAGAAAATGGCCCTCCTTGCACACTGGGTGGCAACTAGTCTGGGGACCAACCCGGCCTGTGAGAGCCTGAATCAGAGTCTTTCCCAAATCACCTCCCATAGACGCTCACCCTCACTCTTCCTGCTATCAAGGGGCTCAAAAGAGTGGAGCAGGTGCCCAGCATTCTCCTCTTTTCATTTCTGATTTGTCCCCAACCATCTCTGCAAACAAAAATTCTCTTCCCTTCTTGTTTGCCCCTCAAAAATTCTTATAGATAGGTAATGGAGAAAAAAAATAACCAAGACATATCATGTACAGGTACAAATACCCAATGATAAATGTAAATGAATTGATTATCTAAAATGTACCAATAAAAGAATTTTTAAAAATTCTTATATATTAGATCAACTCATTTACGGTGCAGAACAAGTTAGTGGAGAAAGCATGGATTCTGCAGGCTGGGATCAAATCCTGATTCTGCCAGTTACCAGTTATGAGAACTGAGGCCAAGCTCCTTCATCTCTCAGTGCTTCTGTCTCCTCTTCTGTAAAATGGGCTAATGCTAGTACTTCACAGTGCAGTTGTAAGGGTTAAATGAGTTAAGATACATAAAGTACTCAGTGCAGCGAACAGCACCTGGTACATGCTCTAAGGTATTAACTACCATTATTACCTTGCCTACAACAGGTCACTTTTCCACTTCAGCAGTTGCACAGCTAGCTTTTGGCAAATTCCTCAGAACTCACCTGGCAAGTCTCAAATGAAAGGAACTTTGCAGGGAAGGGACACATTCTTCCTCCAATAATTTGTCATCAAGGGTAAGAGAAAGTAAGGGCCAAAGTTCCTGCTTGGATGATGAATTAATGATGATTTGCTCAGTACTTACTGAGAGCAGAGAACACCCAAATACCAAACCTGGCACTGGGAGGAAATGACCAAGAAAGAAAAATTAAGAGATTTTTCCTGCCCTTGAAGAGTTTACAATCAAACTGAGGGGGGTACAGAAAAACAACTGTGGAAATTAGTGGGGTTTTTTGTTTTTGTTTTTTGGTATCGGGGATCGAACTCGGGACCTTGTGCTTGTGAGGCAGGCACCAGAACCACACTGAGCTAAATCTCCAGCCCCGAACTGTGGAAATTAGAAAATAAATACAACATATTACCACATACAGAAGAAAATAAGACTAAATGCCACAGAGATCACTGCTAATGGGTTGATGAGAACGGAAAGAGGAGAATGCAGAAAGGGATCTACGGTCTTACAAATTTAAACTTATTTCCAAATAGGTGTAAATTCTGGCCCCCACTTTTTTCTGTGCTGGGGGTGGAACCCAGGCCCTTGCTTTGGTGAGGCAAGGACTCTATCACCCAGCCACAGCCTGGCCTCAATGTGTTTGCTTTCTTTGTTTTTTCCCTCTCAATCAATTAAGGAAACCCTGGCTGCTGTGGGGTTTCCAGCCCAGCTCAGTGAGTTAGACCAGCCCTATAGACATCCCAGGCCATCTCGCCCCAATTCTTCCTTCCCTTCCCTCCCACTGTCCCTCTGTCTCTGTGTCTGTCTGGCTCTGTCCTTTTCCCCTCCCCTTCCCCTTCCGGTTCCCCCCCCCCCCCGCCGTCCTGGAACTCAGGGCTTTCGCACTGAGCTACATCCCCAGCCTCATTTATTTTATTTTAAAATTTTGACACAGGGTCTCACTATGTCACTAGCTTGAAGTTACGATCCTCCTGTCTCAGCCTCCCAGAGTGCTGAGATTACAGGCATGCCCACCACACCAAACTCAATCCACTTTTAAAAGCACTCGACCGGGATGTCTAACGATTCCCCTAGGAATCTCCTTCATTAACTCAGCGAACCACCCCCAAATTACCGCAGAGCAATCACAAAGGAAATTGGGCTGGGCCTCAGTTTACTTCCTGGTTCCTGCCTCTTCGAACTGAGCCCTTCCAAGCTCGCCCAGGGACTGTCTGTGCACTGAGAAGCTCAGCGACTTTCTGGTAGAAGTTACCTCCACCTTCCCTTTCTGACCGCTGTAGTTCTCTACAGACCAGGCCTCCCACCCCCGGACCCTCTGCTGCCCCTGGTGGCGGCCACCATCTTACCCTGGTTCTACTGTAGCGCTGAGGTGAAGAATCAACCTTCTCCCCGTGACGGTTGTTTTGAACTACACTTCCCATGAGACATTTCTCAAAATCGCGATATCTCTGACGAGACTACAGGAAAGACTAGCGCGCAGGCGCACTCTCGCGTTCTTTCTGAGGTCTACCTCGTGCGTCTAAGTCATGGCGATTCCCTACTGTACAGCACCCGGTGAGCAGCCTTGAGGTTTTGGTGATGGTATAAGGTTGCAGTGGTGGGAAAGTGGGGTTTTCTTGACACGGTGTTAACACTCTTGGCCTCCCCTTCCTCGGAGCTGAAGGGCGATGATAAGTCCCGTCTCCTTATGGAGTTGGGGGAGGGGGTGTTGACCTTCTGGATCAGATAATGCATTCTAAAAGGCGAGGGTTTTTATTTTTGAATGGAGAGAGCTAAAGCCAGTTTTTGGCGTCGAAGGGCTTGCACCTAGCGTGACCCAGTGCACCTCAGAGCCATTCATTCCTGTGATGAGCATGGGCATTCTGACGCCTAGGACAGCTCTAACGTGTTAGTGTTAACGACTAGTCACCCATTTTTATTGAACCACTACATTTATTTAATGAATGGGATTGTACACTCTGGAAATTCCGTAGCTTTAATACCGAACCTTTTTTCTTACCCTGAAGGCCTTTCTTTGGCATCTCCAAAGACGATGAACTTAAAAGTAATGGACGCAGACAGGCCAGGACCTACGAGGTCCCCAAGGAAGCAGACATGGTGTAATGGTCTATCTGGCATATTATTTTGTTCTAAAGTTCAATTACATGTATGCATGCTGCTCTAAGTCCATTTAGGGTAAGAACTCTGCCCAGAATCTACAATGCTAATTCTCCAATGGTAAAAATGTGGAGGGTGGGTGCTGGTGTTATTTGGGGCCACTAGGTGTCACTGTTTAAATGAAGCCAATTTGAATGCCACTATGTAAGGAGTGAAAAACGTGGGTGAATTGGCTGGGTTTAGGAGTGTTACTGGTTGAGCTGAGGATGATTTAAAGTTATCCCTGTCTGAAATGACATCTTTTGTGGAGTCTTGACTTACTGAGGCTCAACTTTTAAGCATGTTTTGAGAGTAAATTCCTTAAGGTAGTTAACTGAGAATGAAGTTTGTTTTCCTTTTAGATTGAGTGTGCTGGCTGTGGCCTTTGAATAAAGTCTTGTGAAAACTCATCATCATAAGATGTTGAGCTAAAGGATCTTCATGATGAAATTTCTGTGAATGGTAAGATTTTTAGCCATTTCATAGGATTGCATGGATTATGGTCCCCCTTAAGTAATGAATGGTTTGTTAGATTTGGGAATGCGTGAGTCTTAAGAATTCTGATGGCCTAGATGAGGGGAGTAGTACAGAATTCTTTCTGTTTGGGTAAGGTTTTCCCCTCACTTGGCTACTACATTAGTTAATAAACTGAGGCTTGGGGAATTGTCATCAAAATTATACAACCACTTATTAGCACTAGATTAGATCAGTGGCTCTCAACTGTAGATGAGGGGTCCTATTTATCACATGCAGAATATCCCACAGGCTCTATGAGAAAGAACTTATCAACCTAAAATGTCAGAGGAGCTGAGGTTGAGAAATCCTTGGAAATTACATACTAGATCAACAAGATAGCTGAGTACCAGTCTTGGCCTGCCACCAGATAATGGCCTTGGTGCCTTGTTTCTTCATTTGTAGTGACAGTTAGTGGTTTCCAATCCTGGCTATATGTCAGAATCCCCTACAAAGTGTTAAAGCATACACATTCCTGGACCCCACCTGTAATAGCCTTAGAGGCTGTGCATTGGCTGTACATTGACACCCCATAATCAAGTGTGCCCTGTCCAAGAGCAGGTGCGTGGGGACAATTAGCTGGTCTGATCTGCCTTTAGCTCAAGGAGTTTATTATAGCAAGATTATAGTGCTGGCTATTTTTAAGTAGCTCTTGGGGCATATCTCTAATCTTCAGTTTTTAAAAAAAACAAAAGCCACGTGCTTGTTTTATGGTTACCAATGGGTGAAGGAGAAGTGGACGACCTTGTACGACATTGCCTTGTGGCAGCAGGTACTGTGTATGCAGCTGGCCCTCGTTAGGCTAGCTGAAATAATGAGTGATCTGTACTGTTTCAGGCGTTTTATTGCCGTGCTAGAATGTGTATCCCCTACTGAGCTCAGACATTGCTGAGTGACTCTTAAGGGTAGGAGCTATTCTTGTGCCAGGTCTGGGGTGTTGGGTACATATAGATGCTAGATATAAACAGCTCTTGCTGTGGAGGGAAAACATCGTAATAAAGTTCACATGAGGAAAATAAACACAATTTGTTAAAAAAAAATAGTTCACATGTGCTGTACTCTTGTTGGCGGTGTTGTGGTTGCCTATGGTGGGAGCTGAGTCCATGATGATGTAAAGTTATCCCTGTCTGAAGGCAGAGACCTTTCTATGTGGAATGTGGATCTCTGAAACTCAGCTTCCTGTTTGCTTTCTACAAAATTTAGGCAAGATTTTAAAAAGAAGTACTGTGGCTCTCTTTTTATGTAGGTTTTTTCTTTTTAAATTTCTCTTCCTTGCCAGGTACATTCTCAGTCCCAGTTTCTGAGGCTGAAAGAGGATCCTCGGGTAGCTATACCGTGGTGGCCATCCTGCTTCCATACTTGGGCCTGGACCCAAAGTGTATCATTCATGTAAGCAGAGAATTCCTGAGCAGGCTTGGGTGGAATGTTAATTCTTTTCCTTCCCCTGCCCTGGTCTTAAGGCTGTGAAAACTGGTTGGGAGACTTTAATCTAGTTTTGTTTTCTTTGCTAGGTATCTGTGGTATGAGACAGAACACTGAACTATTTTGCAGGCAAGTGAAACAGTTCTGTCCTGATATCTGTAAGCTTTGTGTTCCCATCTTTTGTCACCCTAAGAAGCCCCACAGCCTTTGATGGCTAGTTATCCTTCTCTGAAAATGCCAACTGAAGAGAATTATTTCATTCTGAGAGTTAGAAGCGGCTCCATGCTTCAAGAGAAGTTCAGGCTGTACCAGGGATGGAGCTGAGTGGACTCCATGGGGAGTTGAGTGTGCCCAGCCAAGGCCCCAGTATAGTGCATCCCTCTGAAGCTTAAAAACCAAAGATCTGGTTGCCCTGTTAAGGCTGGCCCCTTAATTTATGTTCTTTGTGGAATGAAAGAGTGCTTGTCACATATTTCAAGAAAATGAATGTGCTCTTTGAAACAGAGATGGCAGTGAATAATGTATGCCAGCTTGGGGCAGTGAGAATGCTTAATGACTCTGACCTTGTGTCCTGACATTCAGGAAAGAAGGGGTACATTGGCCCTGGCAGAACTGTTTGGTTTCCAGGTGCTTTGTTAACACCAGGAGCCCCCGTATGTAGCTTAGATCCTGTCTCAATGGCATGACTGGCACAGGGCTGCTGCTTGGGTTGTAGAGGCTGGGATGTAAGCAAGAAAGAAGCAAAATGCTGTGTAGGGGGTGGGACGTCTTTGTTCTCACTTAAATGCCACACTTGAAGTGGACACAGATTGCCCTTTTCTGTTGAAATTGGCAGCCATGTGCAGGCTCCTTAAATTTAAGGTCACTTTTTTTGTCCTCTTACCCAGGAAGCTGCCTTTGGGGTGAGATTTAATGATCCTGAACATTGGCTCCAGCAGCTTATAGCTTGCAAGTAAAACAAAGTGAAATGGTGGGCTAGCAAGTGAGAAAGCTCTGTTATCGACTGCTTCTGAGAGCAGACTTGTCTGTTCTGTAGGACTCAAGTAAACCCTAAGGTTGGTGTCCAGAGGGAGTTGAATATAAATATCTCTGCAGCTTACTGGGAATTATTTTCTTACCACTTAGCAGAAACTTTTCCCTTAGACACTGTCTCCTTGAAACTTGTTATCTTAGGGCCGGGGATTTAGCTCAGTGGTTTTGCCTCCTGCTGCGTAAGCACAAGGACCGGAGTTCAATCCCTGGTACAGAAAAAAACCCCCACAAAACTGCTCATCTTAGAACCTTACCAGCCTGCATTGAAACTTGATTCTCCCCAGTTGTGACCTCAACACACTTAGGTCCATAAATAATGGTTAGAATGAGTCCTAGACTGATGGCCTTTTGCGCTGTTTTTTTTGGGGGGGGTGGTACAGGGGATTGAACTTGGGACCTTGCGCTTTTGAGGCAGGCACCGGAACCACTGAGCTAAATCCCCGGCACTTGGTGGCCTTTTTTTTGCTCCTAAATTAGTTCTTTAAAATACCTTTCAGCTGGGCAAGGTGGCACATGCCTAAAATCCCAGCACCTGAGGCAGGAGAATGGCAAATTCAAGCCTGGCCTGGGCAGTTTGGCCCAGGGTTTAATCCCTGCTAACACACACACACACACACACACACACACACACACACACACAATTAACTTTCAGTTTTGAATCACTTAGTTGGCCATTGACTTCCTATTCTTTGCCTTTACAGGTTATTCCCACTGATGCTGGACCGGATCACACAGGCCTGCTTCTCCTAACGTCTAAAACTATCTCCCCAAAATGGAATCAATTAGGAGTTCTTTGGGTTTCATTTAGGAAGCCTTTGGCAGTTATTGGAATTAGAGTATAGACATTCAGAATCCAGTTGAGGTGGTCTGGGTACAATCTCATGTACAGGAGGGACTGCAGTGATTGTAAATTGAACTTGACATGTATGAACTTTGTTGGGAGTCTAAAGGGAAACGTGTTTAGCTTGGAAAAGCCTTTCTTAGTGGATTTATCAAGTCAGTTTCTTGGTTTTAAACTTTGAAGCACAAATAAAGTTATTTTTTTAATTGACTTACTACATTGTGGGTTATTCTTTGACTTTTGGAAAATGCATTCTTAGGGTTTTTGCAGGATAATACTTAGGCTCAAAATTACAGAATTTGATCTGATATTTCCTGTTTTCATAATTGCCTATTAAATTGTACCCCCACTAATGAATTGCCACCCACACACATTGCTTTTACTTCAGATTTAATGAAGCATTGATAGCATCTGCAGATTTGATGGGAGTGGAGGAAAGTAACGTGTGTTGAGGAACCGTTGGGGTTTCTCTATCACTGTGTGAGTGGTAGAATGGGATGTCAGGGGTCCTCCTATATCCTATATTGACCACCACCTGTCAAAGGAACATACTGCTGTCCTAGAGATGAGGGACCCTTTGACGATACCAAGGGAAAGCCAGTTGGGAGTCTTTGTCCTAATGCCAGTAACTGAAGTATCGTGGTTTCCCACTTGTCTGATTCCTGTTCTCTGGGATGTCGTGGCTTTCCAAGTAGCTCCTTTAGTATTTAAACCCCAAATGTCCATTCTGTTGATGCTTCTGGATTTCTAAAGTTCCAGTATATCTCTGGTGTCTCAGTGAATCCTCTCTCTCCTAAGAGCTGATAGAATCAGCCTTGTGAAACCAGAGACAAGCTAATAAGTGGCCTATGTGGGTTGATGTTGCTGCGAAGTCTGCCAGCTCTCCATGGGGAGACGTCTCCCTCTGCTTTGTACAGTGTAGCATGTCAAATTGTCCAAAGTCACTAGGGTTAAGCCAGTGACCAGCAGGGCGTGGTCAAGGACTGTAACCCAAGTTGATTTTGAATCCCATAAAACTGAAATTGCCTGTCAGCTGGCTGAAGTTCGTATTTATTGAAGTCACGATGTGAGGGTTCAATATCCAGCGAGGTGTCCCCAGCCCTTGTTTCACATTCAGATTGTGAACTCCATGCCAAGCTCCTGCGTTTTATATGCTCTCTTCCCCCGCAACAAGAAAAAAAGACAAAATGCCCATCCATCGTTTATGCAGTTAGCTAGCTTCACATTACACTCTGCTTTTTGTTCTCCCACTTCACCATGAAGCAGAAGTTTCACGTTACTAGAGTTGAATATCTTTGGCATTCGTGTGGAGATGACATGCAGTGGGAAGGTGAAGTGGGCTGGAGGGAGGCATTTGCCTGTATGCACTGCTTGGTCTTGGTTACTGATAGGCCCTGAATGGGGCCACGGACCTTCCAACGTCTGTACTGCTGGCTTTGAGCTGCTTATCTCAGGTATGGCGGGCTGCTTCTTGCTGTCTCACCGTGAGAGTCTTCGACAATCAATCCACTTTCCTGTGGCCTCATGCAGGCATCTATCAAGACTCAGGAGTTGCTTGCGGAAGCCAAGGACAACATGGAGCCACCTGCCTTGAATGGGCTCTGACAACATCTCAGTACCCTTTACTGGGAAGGAGAGGGTTGAGGACTTGAAGCCCCTCTCAAAGGTTGAAAAGTCAAGAAAGATGCTTTGTCCACTTGAGGGAACTGGGCCCACGCTCTGCAAGAAGCAGAGGAATCTCAGTTTGGAATTAGCGGTGGTACAGCCAGAGGATGTGTGCCTTGTGTAGATTCCCCCACAGGGTAGCTTCCAGGCGCAGATCGTGGTTTGCATAGAATTTCAGTGGCTGCTTCTTTCTTTCGAAGTAGTGGTCAGAATATTTCTGGTAGTTGGGTGTGATGAATCCATAAGCACTGACCTGGACAGAGACAGTCAGTGAGTGAGAACAGTGTTTCCTGAGCTCCTGCAGGGCAGACAAACTCCTGTAGTGGAGAGGAGTTTGGGAAGGCATGCCCCACCCCGTGCAGGCGTTTGTGTGAAAATAAACTGAGGCAAGCATTGTACTCTTGATATGTGCTCCTTCCAGCCAGCCTTCCAACCTCAGATGATTCTTAACCCACTGAACAAACAGGAGAAACTGGTTAACTAAATGTGTCTACAGATAGTGCTGGGGAGTGGCAGAGCTGGGTCTGGAACTTGGGTGTGATTCAGCAACTACCTGATACCCATTCTAGTAGACTACAGTCGAGACTAGTCCAATAAAATAGGGAAAATACAGAAGGGTGCAGTGATGCATGCCTGTAATCCCTGTATTCTGAGAGGCTGAGGCAGGAAGATTACAAATTTAAGCCCAGCCTGGGCAATTTAGGGACTTAGCGAGACCATATTTCAAAATAAAAACGATTTGGGGATATAGCTCAGTGTGAAGGGCTTGGGTTCATCTCCTAGTATGTGGGGAAAAGGGAAAAAGTATGGAGCCAGAATTTGCCCTCCAGCTCTCATCCTGGCTTCACAGGGGTCAGGGCCTGTTCTTAAAAACTGCTGTTAACTTCTTGCCTCTGCAAAGTTCACATAGGCAACATCCCGCCAGCAACCCCCCCTGTGATTTCAAAGTTTCTATGGGTGGAAGGCTAAGCCTGCCATGCCATGCCACCTCTAGGATGTCCCTGGAAAAAGATGTCTCCAGTTCTGTAGAGAAGATTTTGCTTTCAGAAAGACATTTTTTTTTTTTTTTTTTTGGTACCGGGGATTTAACTCAGGACCTTGCATTCTCGAGGCAGGCTGCGGAACCACTGAGCTAAATCCCCGGCCCAGAAAGGCAATTTGATTTGAAACTTAAATACCACACAGTGAAGGAAGGAAGCCCCGGGACAAGTAGCTGTGGGAGCAAAGGCAAGGCTGGCCTAGGACCCATCCTTTAGAGGACCCTACGTAGTGGGTGTTCTCATAGCTGGGGAATCCTTCATGGGGCACAGGCCAAGAGTCGCCATCTGAGGGTGACTCGGGAGGAATATCAGAGGTCATTCTGAGTTCTGTTCACATACATCCTCTGCTGCCATGGCCAGCCGGAAGGGGATCTCCTACCTGGTCACAGGTGTGCAAAGCTGTGAGCAGCATGAGGGCCCCAGTACTAGGCATGTATATGTCTTCAAACCCTTTGTTAATCAACTCTGATTTCAAAAATCTGGAGGCAAAAAGAGTCATGAAAGCCTGAGAGACGTTGAAGTGTTACTTGCTGGCTCTATAGTTGTACCATTCTGTTTTATAGCTGTCCATTCAAACACATTGGGAGACTTAATTTCCGGCTCTTCTACCCCAACCAGTTCCCTATTTGGGGAAAAAGCCAAGTGAACTCCTAAATGCAAGGCTCTTTGGTTGAAATAAAAACCTTACGTGGGGTGCTGTGAGAAAGAGGAACCCCAGATGCCATCCTGGCCCTTTCTCCCTCTCTACACTGTTTCCGCCCCTGGGCTGCTAGGTAACCACAAAGCCTAGGAAAAAGGGCCCTGTTTATGTGGTCTGAGACCTAAGTTTCTCTCTGCCCCACCTCTTGACCAAGCAGGGATCACCTAGGAGGCAGGGTATCCTGGTCTGGACTCGATGCCGTGGTGCCCAGCTGCTCCAGCCTCGGACCTGCATTCATCTCTAAGCCTGGCCAGGAAGGGCACCTGAATTTGCTGAGCCTTTCTTCCTCTGCAGAATGGGGCTTCCACAGGCCTCCCCAGACCCACCTGTACCCCTCTCCTCCCTGTCTTGGGATGTTTGCTTCTGTGGTCTTAGCGCAGTTTTTCAGCCATGGCACGGTTAATATTTGGGGCCATACAGTTCTTTGTTGAGGGCCTGTGCTGTGCACTAGGGTTTACGGTGGTATCTCTGGGCTTTACCTACTAATGGCGGCCCCCCGCTCTGGACAGCTGAAAATGTCATCCTACAGGACTAGGCATTGCCCCCACCTGCTCCCAGCATGGAGAACCTCTGGTTTCAGGGAGGGAGGAGGGAAGTGAAATGGGGCTGTTTGTACCCCGGTTTCCTCCCCAAGTCGCCTTGGGCTAATAATGCTTCTAATACCCACTACCACCAGAACTTCCTGTCCATTTCCTATTACTCTGGCCACCGGAACACCACCTCCATTAAGGTAGTAAATAAAATAGTAACGTAAATAAGTGCTTGGCACTGTGCCAGGCACGTGGCACTCACTGACACCGGCCACACTGAACGGGGCTCCTGGAAGGCACCACAGATTCAGAGTAGGTTTGCACAGGAAGAGGAAAGGTTGCTGATCTTCCGGCCCCCCACCCGTCCCCAGCCCTGACACTGCCTTACCTCTCCTTCAGGTACCTGATGAAGTCTGGGTGAAGAAGCTTGAATTTACTGGCAGAGGTTTCAGGTCCAAAGTAGGTGTGAGGCCTAGAACCGAGGTTAGAAGTGGACAGAGCACCCAGAGCCATCGTGTTGCAGGAAGGCTCTGGGGCGCCGGTGGAGGGAGCGGTAGGCATGGGGCTGGGAGTAGTAGCGGGAGAAGGGGGTGTAGAAGGTGGCTGGCAGCACCGAGGGGACCACATGTGGCTTCCCCCTCACTAGGACCTCCGTGGGTGGGGAGTAGGAGAGGGAAGATGGGGGTGTGAACAGGGCAGGAGGCATGGGGAAGGAGCAGTTCTCAGAGGGGACATAGGGTGGTGGCGGGAGGAGGGGTAAGTACAGGGAGCTGGGGGGAGCTGTTGGGGGCTTCGGGGCTGGGCAGGGAAAGTCACAGGGAAAGCACTGGTTTTGGGGAAGTGGAGATGTAGGGGGCTGGACAAAGGGGGGCTCCTTCAGGAAGCGGGGCACGTAGGGGGTGATGTAGGATGGGATGCTCCGAATGGGGCTGAGGCAGGAGGCCGAAGTGGCAGGGCTGTAGGAGGGAGACCTGGGGGTGAGGGAAGGATTTCGGGAGAGGGGTTTGAAACCAGACTGGGAGGGAGACTTGGAGGTGGGAGGCGTGCCGGGCTGGGTAGCCCCTCGGGAGGCAGGTTGGACGTGAGGACTGAGGCTCAGGGAGGAGGCGTGGGAAGAGGGCTGAGAGGGGCTTGGTGTGGGAGGGTGGGAGGGCAGCTGGGAGGAAGTCCCCTGGGTAGGGGACAGGGAAGGTGCCGAGGCTCCGGAGCTGGCAAAGGACTGCTGGTTGGGATGGGACTGGGAGGGGGACTGGGTGGGGGATGGATTGGGGGTATGGGCGGGGGAGCTCATTGGTGTTGTGGAGCCTTATGTCCACCTGATGTCTCTGAGCCAGTGCCCCAAGAGCCCAGACCTGCCAGCCCGTGTCACAGAGCCTGTCCTCAGGACCAGCAGCAGAAGAACTAGGGAGCAATTGTTGGGTAATCACAAGGCGGGGCGGGGGCTGGCCTAGCTTTTGTGACTTAACCCCAAGACCAGCTCAAAAGCTGCTCTTCAGACAAGGTGGCTCATGTCTGTCATCCCAGCCCTCAGAGGCTGGGGCAGGAGATTTACAAATCTGAACCGGGCCTGGATAATTTAGTGGCTTAGCAAGACCATGTCTCAAAATAAAAAAATACATAAAAAAGGGCAAGGGATGTGGCTCAGTGTGAAGGCCCTGGGTTCAACTTCTAGGACTGCAAATAAACCAATGCCCCCAAAACCGTGCTGTGCTCTTTGGGAAGGGGTGAGATATCCCCAGAGCACAGGGAGGAGGCTGGTCATCTCTGGCATAGCAGGGGCACGGGTTTCTGAGTGCCTGATCTCAGGGCCAGGACGCGGTCCACAGGGGACTGGACCCAGCCGGCTGCACAGGAAGGTGGGAGAGAGAGGACAAGGTGCCCTTTGTTCCCACCTCTCAGGACCCTGGGCCTGCCCAGCCTGTGCTCCTGTCTCCTGGGTGCTGCGCACCAGGAGGAGTGGACTGGGTCCTGGCCCCAGCTCTCAGTTTGCCCTGAAACATGCTCAGTGGGCCAGGAGACCCCGTGTATGTCCCTGAGCCGCTGATGGCCGAGCTGGTGATGGAGCCAGCAGCCTGTGGCTGGGCAGCCAGGTGTGCTTGCCCCATTCAGAAGACCCTGAGCCAATAGGGACCAGTAGGGCCTCCTGGGCTTCCCTGAGGCTAGGCAAAAAAGGGGAGGCTCTCTAATGCTGAATTATGGTGAATGGTTTTGGATCACTGAGTTCTTAGGGATTTTCTCATTGCCCTTCACCCAGCTTCTCTACCCCACCAAGGGCCTGGGAGCCGGGGGACAGGACCCAGCTGCTATTGCAGCCTCACACCACTGCCCCTGCTGCTCACCTGTCTCCTTCATCAGGGCCCTCAGGGACAGGCACACCCAGAATGGCTGATCTCAGCATCAGGTACTCACGGATGCTTGAGGGGATGAAGATATAGCGCAAGTCCTGTCAGGGCAAAGCCAGGGCTGCATTCAACTGCTGCTCTGAGGGAACAGCCCTCTATCTAATCTTGGCACTTGAGCTAACAGGAGTCTCTTTACAGGGCTTTATTCCCACTCTGTGGTAACATGGTGATTTTCACTATATGCTCACAAGTGCTTTGAAACTCCTCCCTACAAGAGACAAAGCCTTACCCAGGAGGCTAAAACAGGAGGCTCACACATTCACGCCCAGCTTGGGGAACCTAGTGACTTGATAAGACCTTGTCTCAAAGTAAAGAATGAAAAGGACTTGGAATGTAGCTTGGCGTGAAGGCCGTGGGTTCAATTCCCAGTGCTGGGGGGAAAAAAAGAATAAAGATCCAGGTGTGGCAGCACATGCCTGTAGTCCCAGCACTTGGGAGACTGAGGCAGGGGGATTGCTGCAAATTCCAGGCCAGCCAGGGCTATATAGTGAGTTCAAGGGCAGCCTGAACTACATAGCAACACCTTGTCTCACACACACAAAAAAGAGTTTTTCTGTAAAATAGAAAAAGTGGGCAGTAACAGCATATGACTTTGGAGACTAGGTAATAAAAGGGGCTGAGGCTTCCTTGCTGTCTTTGAGTGAAGCTAACTGTCACGAGGTGAGGCCTCTCTGGGCGCACAGAGGGGCCCGGGTGGCAAGCATCTGTGACTGGGCCATCCTGACTCAGCTCCGACTGAGGCTTCAGATGACAGCAGTATTACCACCACCTGAGAGAGAGCCAGAATCACACCCCAAAGCCACTCCCAGACTCCCAAGTCATTGAAGCGGTAAGATAATACATATTTTTTGTTTAAAGTTTTGGAGTCGGTTGTTATGTAGCAATAGATGACTCATGCAGGTGCTGAGGCCACACTGGAAACCAAGCTGCTGCCCCATTTCGTTCTGTTATGAGCTAATGGGGTGCTAGGGTGCCTCGGACTCTCTTGCATGCCCTGCTCAGAGGAAGAAGCTTCTGGAAACCCAGCCATGCCTTGTCCAGCACCACAGATGCCCTTCCCTAGGAACTCCTTAGCCCTGCATATGGCACCCGGAGCGCCTGAGGTGGGAAGTATGGATTTAGGGCAACTGTGTATGGTTGAAAGAACACAAGGCCAGCAGACAGGTTCACATGCTGGTTCCTGCTCACTAGCTGTGGCCTGGCGCATGCTCCTTACTTTCTTTGCATCTGTTTCCTACATAGGGCTATTGTGAGAACACAGGGGGTCAAACAGTATTCTTTTGGTGGGCCCGGTGGGGAAATGGAAATAACTTTACTGCTGTGACCAAGGGGCTTAGATTTTGATAATTCTAGCTAAGTGACCTTGGACATCTTCCCAGGTTTTTCAGTGTCTGAGTTTGGCCATCTGGAAATAGATATGATGATCCCACTCCTGTGGGCTGCTGTGACGACCATGTCCGTGCCCCGTGGCATGCTGGGAACAGGGGAAGGCCCTTGATAAATACCCTTCCCCTGTGCACAGCTCCTATAGGCTAATCTTCTCAGAGATTGTGAGCTCTTGCCAGGTGAAAGGGCACCGAGTTCTCATCTCCCCACAAGTAAAGGGGTTTTCCTGGCACCTGTCAAATGCCTGGTATGATATCAGCATTCAGTAAATATTAGCCATTCATCTTCTGTGCTCTAGAGAAGGCCTGAGTGGCCTGAAAGAATGTGGAGTCCTTGACCAGCTCCTCCTGCAGCTTTAATTGCTCCATCCCAGGCACCCAAGATCCTGGTGCTGCCTCTTTCTATGCACTGGACATGGGCCCCGAGCCCTGGGGTCCACCCCACAGAGGGGCCCCAGGAAGATGGCGCCCACTGCCAACCACAATGCTGTGCCCAGCAGGGCCTCACCTGTCCTTGTGGCACAGAGGTGAAGCCCAGGTCCCAGTAGGAGATGAGAGAGTTCTTCATGGTGTTCACAGTGAAACCATAGAAGGAGGTCTTGGTGCCCACATCGCGCTCGAAGCCTTTGATCACAGCTCCGTTGAGTCTGGCCGGGGCAGAGGGCCGTCAGTGTCTTTGTAGTTACACCACACTACTGCTTTACTTCATTTCCATGGCTCTTCGCCTGTCGCCTTTGCACACTTCTGCACCTAGGTCCAGAAGCCAGCCCCATGCCCACTCCCCCAGCCCTCAAGGGATGCCCAGTGAGTGGGTAAATCTGGCCCCGGTGGCCCCTTCCTCCCCGGTCCCCTTGCACTGGGCACCCATGCTCCATGTTGAGGGTCTGCTGAGCCTTCTTCTAGGCTTGTCTGTCCATCACGGTTACTTGGCCCCTGTTTCCCTGTCCCTTGTCCTCGGGGAAGACGCTCCCTGGGCCACTGAACACCAGTTGTCCACCCAGCTCTTCTGCTCCCACACCTGGCTTCTGCCCTCATACCTGAACACATAGTCATGGGCATCAATGTCCAGACCCTGACGGGACCCGTTCAGAATGCCTCCGTTACCCACCACGGCACACCGGATGCAGTTGCCAGGGGGCTCCCTGGAGGGGGCAAATAGCTCTGCGGTCTTGGAGCTGTTCAGAAGGCTCAGGGTGGAGGTGATGGCTGTGGGTGAGGACAAGGGGTAGCCATGAGGAGGGTGGTCACCAGGGTCACTGAGGTCTTCTCAGACCCTCTGGCCAGGCACCTCAGCTCACCTGAGGCCTGACCCCAGCCCCTCCCAAGAAGCACAGAAGCTGGGTGCAACATGGCAGGAGGGTTGAAGAGGCGTGGCTGGGCCTTCATGGCCTTAAGAACTTCTACAACTGATGGCACAGGCCTATGATCCCAGCACTCAGGAGGCTGAGGCAGGAGGAACACCACAAGTTTGAGGCCATCTGGGGCTACATAGAGCGCTCAAGGCCAGCCAGCCTGAACTACACAGCAGGTCCCTTTCTTAAAACAACAAACAGGGCCAGGAGCCGGGGATGTAGCTCAGCAGTGTAGTAGCAAATGGGAGGCCCTGGGCTTGATTCCTGGTACCAAAAAAGAAAAGAAAAAGAAAACTCCCCCATAAAAATTTAATAAAGGGCTGGGGTATGGTCCAGTGGTAGAGTGCTTGCCTATACACGTAAGGCCCTGAGTTTGACTCCCAGCATCCTCCCTGCAAAAGAACTCAAATAACCAGTCCACTCAATACTGTGTGCATTACAAAAGAAAGGAATCTGAGGCATGTGTGGGGCAGATTTAACATGGAGGGCGGAATGGAGTGTGGCATGGCCACAGCAAAAACCATAAGCAGGGCTGTTGAGGCCCCAAGGGCTCTGTCCTCAGTTCCCATTGGACAATGGACACTTTCATGCCAGGGAGGCCCCGGGGATGGTGAGGCTGCTGAGTGGGGGCACCCTCACCCCTGCCTAAGCCCTGGGTGCTTGGATGAAGGCGCGAGGTGCGGGAGGATTCACACAGCTGGGGTCTGGGAGGAGAGAGTCACAGGAGACTCCACGTTACAGACGCTGTGAGGGCAGAGGGCCTGGGGGCACAGAGCAGGGGAGAGGTAGCAGGTGGAGGGTTACCTTGGCGGGAGAGCCCCTGCCAGCCATAAGGGGCTTTGTGGCGGCTCAGGCTGTCCCAGAGCTCTGGGGTGAGAAGGCCGCCCCACAGCAGCACTGGAATGGAGAGATCAAACAGGCCCCAGAAGTGGCGGTGCTGCCTAATGGCCATGGAAAGGGAGTGTGGGCAGGGCCCGCTCTGTGGGAGAGAAGATGAGGGCTGAGCCCTGTGGGGCAGGGCTTGGGGTGGGGGGAGGCCTCCCAGGAGCCCACAGACCCCCCAGGAGAAAGAGTGACAAGGCCTGAGCCGCCCTCCCCATCTAGACTGGGGCCACCCTTGGAACTTCAGGCTGAGACTCTGGGCGTCCAGCAGCCTGATGGGGTCGGAGAGCATTCTGGATTGAGTCTGTCCAGCCCTCCTCCTCCAGGCGCCACCTCTCCATGCTCTGTTGAGTCTGGCATCCTACTCCTTCCCCTACATGTGGGCAAACCTTGGGCACTTTCCAGTGGCTGGGTATGACCTGGGCGTTGGCATCCATCAACCTGGATGGAGATCTTAGCTCTGGTAATTGTCCCTGTAAGATTCCAGTGTGAAAGGGCTGCCAGGAAGATTTATAATCAAACTTCTTTCTTCCTGTTGATATCTACTTTCAGCTCATGGAGTGTTCCCCCACCCCCAATATTCAAGTTCATCTAGAACCTTAGGATGCGACTTTATTTGCAGATGTAGTCGAGATGAGACCATGTGGGGTTAGGTGAGGCCCTAACTCCAATGCCTTAGCCCTTCCTGAAAGGAGGCCACATGAAGACAGAGAAGGCCGTGTGATGATGGAGGCGTAGAATGGAGTGTGGCAGCTGCAAGCCAAGGGACACCAGGAGCCACATGATGCCAGGAGAGACCAGGGAGGCTTCCTTAGAGCCCTGGCCATGGCACTGCCAACACTTTGGGCCTTCTGGCCTTCAGAATTGATGGAGAATCATCTGCTGCTTTAAGTCACTCAGCCTCAGCGGCCATTTGTCCCAGCAGCCACACAAAAGGAGCACAGCACCTTGGTGCTTGAGGGCCCTGGGGAGGGCAGAGTTGCTTCCCCACAATATGGGAATCTCACTCAGCCTTGTTCTCTCGAGGGTTACTGTTACTACCGAACAGGGCTCTTCATTAAGAGTTGGTTTGGTCAAAGGATGGAGCAAGCAATGGCCATAAAGTTGTTTCTGCTATGATATAACACGAGAGTGTCTGAAATTCACTGTATGACTCAAAACTGTGCAATCAAAACCACAGGACTTACGGGGCGGCAGGATGAGTGGCAAAACACTCAGAAACATTGTCCGTGATGCATAAAACTGAAGATAGGGATTCAAGACAGATGGAAACCTGTTGCCTGGTGGAGAAACACAGAAATACTAACAAAACGATGGCACTGTATCTTGCAAAGACCTGAGACTTGCTTGTGGATGCGGGTGTTGGAAGGGCAGCCGCTTGTGAGTTATTGTGAAATGGGCAGCGGGTTTGTCAAAACAAGAAGGGAAGCTGTAACAGCGGGTCACCGCACGCGCAGCCAAGCTGATGGTGTCACAAGGGTTGTGTATGTGCGCTTTTTGTGTCTTCCCTCGAGGTTCTGCTGAGTTGGTGTGATTTCCACATTTACCTAGCGTCCTCACAAAGCCGCTCAGAAGGAAACTCAAAATTTGTAGGATGCTCAAGTTGGTGCTAATATAGCAACCTCATTGGAACAAAGTCTCAAAGCAGGCAGTACTGCAGAACAGACCACAGTTGCAGGGGCACTTTATGAGCTTCTGGGGAAAATCTCCAGGTCTCTAAATCAGGAAGGGCTGGGCTTCCCTTGGGCAGCTGGCTTGCTTTTAGCTCATGGATATGGTAGTGAGGTTTCTTAGCTCTGGCCACCAGGAAGCTCAGAGTCCTGTGGTATACTTTTCAGGCACTTATCTAATATTGTCTTATTTTTCTACCTTTTTCCTCATTTTGTTTTATTATGTTTTGGCCTTATGTATGGATTCAGCTTGACATGAGTGCAGCCATCTTAAAGCATAACTGCCATGCTTGCCCCAAAGTAACCCTCGCTGGTTTTTCCTGCATAGTTTCCCAGCAAACTATAAATAGATAAGACCATGAAAGTCACATGTAGACTTTACAAGCAGAGACTGGCTCCAGGGATACATCAGACTCTTTGATATTAAAACCAGATACATTTCAGCCAGGATGAAGTCACTGTTGTCATATCCTATAGGTACACTCCTCTTTCTGCCCCAAATAGAGGTGCTCCAACTGGTCTTCCTGCCACCCAAGGCCATGCTTGAATCAGTAAGTCCCCCAGTAAACTCTACATCTGTGTGCCTCTCTTTTTTAGTCTCACACACCTTGGGGCCAGTCCTCATACACCAGGACCGAACTGTCCTGGAGTACTTTGTTACATGTGTCCAAAAGCCACCTCCAACCCTTTGTTTCAAATCAGGCAGAGATATACATCAGGATCAAGTAGCAAAGACTTGGGAAACTTATAGATCACCTGGTCCAAACACTCTAAAGATGCATAAGGCCACTCTTCAGCCTGCTGGCCAAGTATCCACTGGCTTCCTCTTGACACAAGTGGCCCCATGCCCTGCTAGGGTGGTTGACTCCGTTTCTGAACACGTGACTGTCACTGAGCTCTTGTACGCAGTGAAGTCTTTCTCCCTGAGGCCCTAGCTCAGTCTCTCGGGGATTAGGAGCAACTTAACCCATACTAATCCAGAGCGATAAAGTCATCACCCGATCGAGGTGTGGAGCCAGGGTGGCAGGGGGCCTCTAGCCCACCTGGTGCACAGCCAGGTTCTGTGAGCAGAGGAGGCCTCACATCCCCAGCTCCTTGAGTGAACCTAGCTTCTCCGTGCCTCTGTTTGTTCCTCTGGAAGGGCTCCCTCCTCAGATGCTGTGGGATTTGATGAAAGAACAGGGCTAGACAGGGCCTCGGGTGCCTGTGGTGGACACTGGCTACTGCTCAGGGTTATGGACCAGGTATCACGGTTCTCAGGCCCTGAGCAGTCAGGAACCATCTTCCCAGCACTTGCAGAGGACACTGTGGTGAGCAGTTACAATGGGACTCAGAGTAAGAAAATATTTGGAGGAGTAGAGTGTAAAATCCACTTGACATTTCAAGATAACATCTTGACTCCTAAGAACGTTTCAATAGTGACATCCCACGAGTACATATTTATTTGTCCTTCTCTGCTATCAAGATACAGGAAACCCTAGTGGTCAGGTCTAGGATACCCAGAGAGGATGAATGCTGGTGGAGTTCCGGGGAGCTCAGGCCCAGCAATCTCATGAAAATATTCTTTCCCCGGCTTCTGCACTAACTTGAGGATGCTCAAAACTGCCACAGGGTGGCCAACCACTGTACCTTTCTGGTCTCAGAATTTGGTGCCTTGAGTCCAAAGAATTCTCGAGGTGTCATGATGTCCCTGGGGAAGAAGGCAGAAGTAAAGGAAGGGTCTGACTCAGCCACGTCGGCAGGGCCAACTGACCCCCGAGGAGTTTCCGGGCGGATTCCTTAGCTCAGGGTCCAAGAGGTGTCCGCCTTTTGCATCCTTTTGCTTCCATGCTCCTATTCTTGCTCATATCTCTTCTTTAGGCTCAAAAAATACTGTCACTTAATGATGTTCTGCCCAGCTGCATAAACCCCCAAATTAAGGGAATGCTTCAGAGAGGGGCAGAAATGTGACATATAGGGACAATGGGATGGTTAAAATACAAAAATATAGGCAAGATCGCTAGTCTCTGGAATTATGACAATCTGAGGGGTCCCCTGCCAGAGCCCCAGAGGCAGGCAGGAGTGTGTCCAGTGTCCGGCTTGGGGCATGGCTCGGAGGCTGGCTCCCTGGTGTGTACATGGCTCTACCACTGGCCAGCTGTACAGTCTCAGGCAGTTACTGAATTTCTTGGAACATCAGCCTCCTCATCTGTATGCTAGGGATCACCAGACTGAGTCCCCCTGATTGTTGGGAGGAGTTCAACAGAAAGTGTAGGTTATTGAACATGAAAAGCACCCTCTGAATGTTGGCTATGGTTACCTAACGGAGCAAGGCAAAGGACCTTGTGCCAGCTTCTTATTAGTGTCTTTTCTGGAAGGAGTTAAGGAGCTAATGCTACTACCTGGTCCCAACTCCCAATTCCTAGGCACCAGGTGGTGGCCCGGGCAGCAAGGCAGAGGGAAAGCAGGAAGGAATACGGGCCCTGGTGCATTCAAAGGGTGGCCAGGCCGCCCTGGCCCCTCTGTTGCTCCAGTAGGCACAAGGAAGCAGATGGGGGAGGACTGGGAACGGCCAATTTGCAAGGGAAGCAAAGGCCTCATGTAGGTGTGAGACAGCCGAGCCACTCAGGAGCCTGTGACCTGCCTTCCTTAGGTTTCCCAGATTTCTGGGCAGACCCTAGGGGGCTTCCCAGAAAGAGCGGGGATGATCCTTTCCCCTCTCCTCCCTTTCCCCCTCTGTCAGGCCATGAGCACAGTGTGAGCCCCTCTGAGGAGGAGCTGGGGCGAAGTGCTCAACCTCAGCTATCCAAGAGAAAAACACATCTCTGGATTCTGATCTGATCCATTCCACTCCCACCCTAATTCCTACCAGGTGATTCCAATGTGCAGGCAGATTTGAGAGCTGGATGGAAGAACTGCTGAACAGGACAGATTTGAGACAGGTGGGGGAGATTTCCTGGAGGGCAGTAATGGGACCCCCTCCCCAACTTGATTGTTGCTCAGAACTCTCCCAGCCTCTGGGAAGCCAGGTGTTTCTTCCAAGTATCCCTTGTAGTCTTTGACTTCTCCCAGGATTCCAAGCGCTTCTGGTTACCTGCCTGAGTGCCAGGAAAGGCACGGGAAGAGGGCTAGCCACCTGTGCCCCTCAAGGAGCTCTTACCGGTCTCAGGAAAAATAGGACAATGTCACGCATCTTTCAGAAAATTAAATTTCCTCAACCTACATCCTATTCTTACTAATTCAGAGTCCTAAAGGAGCTGGGGATTTAGCTCAGTGTTTCCGCTGCCTGCCTCACAAGGGCAAGGTCCCAAGTTCAATCCCTGGTACCAAAAAAAAAGTCTGAAGGAATTCAGAGTCCTAAAATGTTCTTTTCCTTTTTTTTTTTTTTTTGCAAAATAATGTTGACAATAGATGCTGACAGCCCTACTTTGACTTTCACCTTTCTTTTTTTTTTTTCTGGTATGGGGGATTGAAAGCAGGACCTTGCGCCTTCCAGGCATGCAGCAGAACCACTGAGCATTTATAAATCCCCAGCCCTCTCACCTTTCTTTTACAAAAAATAAATCTGAAAAAAACAGGTCTGGAAATCTTCACATCTGGAAACCACTGAACCAGATTCTCCTGTGAGGAGATTTCCAGACTGGATTCTTCTTTAAGGTGGAATAAGAACCCCTACCTGGGGCTCCACAGACTCTATTACAGCCACTGTTCTTCCAGGGCTGGCCCAGTAGCCAGCCATGTCCGTTTGATGTCCCTAGCTGGAGGTCACACAGGCGGCTGTTCCTACCCAGCATGCCATCCGCTTCCCATCCTCCACTTTCCTGGACTAAATCTCCACCTCCCACAGGGAGGCTGAGTCCTGACCTGCCCGGGGTTTAAGGTACAGCACAAATATCACCAGAGTCTCGAACCATACTAAGTTTTGAAAACAAAATCTTTGAAAGTTTTTTCCAGGGGCTGGGGATTTAGCTCAGTGGCACCATGCCTGCTTGCAAGCACAAGGTCCTGAGTTCGATCTCCGGTTCAAAAAAAATTTTTTTCCTCCCTGAGATTCAATGGAGGAACAATAAACCTCATTTTAAGGTTGTATTAGGTACTTCTAGGATATTAATGACTTCAGGTATTAGTTGCTAAAGTAACCTTCCTACCAAGAAGACTTGGCACAGAATCCTCTGAACATGCTACCTGTCACTTTGCAACCTGCATGTGTCCTTCGACCTTACCTCCCAAGAGCAGACGCTCATTTGGTTTTCAGCTGCACCCTCTGGGGCAAGGTTGCTGGGGAGCATGTAGGTGTGCAGGTGCACAGAGCTGGGATGGGAAAAGCTGGTGGAGAGGCTTCCACAGGGGGCTGAGGGTGCTCTCCTGGTTCCACAGCTCAGACTCGGTTATGGCTCCATCTGCCTGCCACAAGTTTTAAAGCTAAATCATTTTGAGGCTTCTTTAGTAACTGGAACCTTCACCTACCAAAAGCAATGTCTTAGGTTTTTGTTGTTGTTGCTGCTGAGACATAATATCTGACACCCAAAGTTGAAGGAGGAATGGTTTATTTAGCTCACAGTTTATAGAGGTTTTAATCTATAATCTGCTGGCTCCACGGCAAGGTGGCATGGCAGACAAGTATTGCAGAGGACAAACAGTTTATGGTTCGCAGAAGGTAACAAAGCAACAAGAGAGGGACCTTAACAGCCTCCTTTTGTCCCTCATATCTTATCCAGGCTACTTGGGGTGGGCAGCACTCACACCCTTAATCTTAGTGCCCTTGATCCGAGCACTGCACCATGAGTCGATCCCAGCGTCACACACTCTGGATCCAGCCACCTCTGAAAAGCCCTACCTATGACTGCAGGAGGCTTTGGGGGGACGTCTAGACACAGCCGTAACAGGCAGGCCCTCAAGTTTCTCCTCAGGGAGCACGAATGAAAGACAGGTGGTCAGGCCAAGCCGATGGGAGGAGGCGCGGGCAGGGGTCTGGAAGGACCCAGACCTGGCCCGGTTCCCCTGGGAGTCCTCTCTTCGTGGGATCGCGCCCAGATGGGGCTTTTTCGGAACAGAGTAGAGCAAATAGGGCCCAGGGGGAGGAGGACAGGGCAGAGACCAGAGTGAGTAGGGAAGGCCACTGGGCACCGCCTGCGTGAGGATCCTGGCAGAGGTGGAACCTGGCCGACTTGGGTCTCTGAGCAAGAAGTAGAGTCCGGCAAAACACAAAAAAGTGACATTATGGAGAGCTCGTGACTCCAAAGGAACTGTGTTTATCCAACCGCAGTACCCAGCCGGGTCTCAACAACAGAAAGTGTTCTGGTTAGGCTTGGAAGGAATTAACTGACACAGGTGTGGGGGCTTCGGGTCCCTCTTGGACGCGCGAAGAGGCCCTGGCGTGCCCCCAGGCGGGAGATCAGCGCCGGGCGCGGACTCGGGGCTCACCGCGAGCCGTCGCAGAGGGGTCAACGCGGAGGGCGGGCTGAAGGCTGACGGCGTCCGGGGAGCCCTGGGTGGTGGGCGGGCGCCTCCCCGCTGGCCCCCTGCGCCCTCGGGTCAGCGCCCCGCAGACCCTACCTGGCTCCGGACCAGGGCTCCGGGAACGGCTCCACGGACGAGGAGTACAGGGCGAAGAGGATCCCCGCGCAGGCAGCGACCAGCAGGAGAAGCAGCCAGAGGACCCGGCCGCGCGGGAACCCCATGCGGCCCCAGGCTCGGTCCTGGGCGAGGGGAGAGGCCGGGGTGGGCCTGGCGGTTGGCGGAGGCGGTAGCCCTGCCCATGCCGTTCCCAGCCCTGCCCGGCCCTGCCCGGCCCTGCCCATGCCGTGCCGCCGGGGCGCCTCCCTGCCCTCCAGCTCCCCCTGTGCCTGGGCCAGGGCACTGCCGCACCTCGGGGACATAGCGGGTCCCGAGGCCGGCCGGAGTGTCACCCGGGTCCGAGGAGCCCCCGGGGGCTGTACCCCGCTGGGGGACTTGCCGGCACTCTGGGCTGGGCAGGACGCGGTCCCCGAGCGGTCCGGGGCCAGCGCGCGCTGTGCAGGGACAGGCTGGGCGTTGGGACGCCGCCACCTGCCGCGCGGGCTGCTCACTGCGCGCACCCGGACCGGGCCGCGGGCTTTTTGACCCCACAGGCAGGTGGGCGACCTGCAGGGCTCCCCTGGGAAGGTCCGTCAGACCTGTGGGTTTGGAAGGCAGCTATGCTCACCACTATACCACCAACGGAAGACCTGTGGGTTTGGGCTGTGGCGCCTTGGTCCGGTGAGAACCTCAGGTGAGGGACCAGTTCACTAAAACAGCTGGGGAGAAGGAGGCTGGAGATGGACGGACGGACGGACGCACGCACGCACGCACGCACGCACACGCACGCACCCAGCTCAGACTCAGGGTGAGGCAGGGAGCCTGCTGGAGTGCACGGCTGAGCTTTGGTGACTACCAAAGAAGTCAGACCGCTCATCGCATTGCAGTCCTTTTACAAAAGGTGGCCAACCTGGAGAGCCGAGCAGCAGAGTGGCCTGAGGGGTTCAGCAGGACCCAGCACCACCAGGAAGGGCTGGGGACCTCAGACACGGCGCTGGGGAGGCAGAGCCCTCCCTAGCAGTGGGCAGTAGGCAGCAGCTGTGTTATCCAGTCCGGATCCCCAGCTGTGTGCAGGCTGAGTGGGACTCGGGCCTCCTGTCCCAGGTTGGGAGACAGTTCGGCTGCAGCTAGGGCATTTGCCTGATTTCGAGGCTCGCCGAAACGCTCCCAGGGGCCTGCGCCTGTGGTCAGGAGTGAGTCTCTCAGAGCCTGTTCTGCTTTGCCTGCTGTGGCCCAGCTCAGGATCCCTGGAGGGCAGTCGTGCTGGGCCAGCCCTTTACTGCCATAGAGAGACAACTGCACCTTGCTACCCTGCTGATGGGCACTACTTGGAATCTATGGTTTTGAGTCTTTCATTTCAATCTTTGTGATCTTCACTTGTGAAAACCCCTGCAGATATTACTTACCCTGATCATGACCATGTCATGCATTCTGTGTGGTTTATAGGACTTCAGACCCTTTCTCTGAGCTCAAAATTCCCTGTCCCCTTCCTTCCTACTTCATGAGAGAAAGGGAATCACTAACTAGTTATTTCTTCAACTTTCCATCTTCAAGTCTACAAATTCAGACCCATCATAGCCCAGCCTCTCCCTGTCTCACAGCATGGCCCCAGCCGTGTGGAGTTGGCCCCCAGCGTGTCCATGGTTGGATTCCTCTTCAGTACCCGAGGCAACACCCCTCAGACTGGCACTTCCTGGTCATCTGCCTGGTTGGAGCTCCTCCCGGGACCTGCAGTCTCTCCCACTCCATCAGCCCTTTATCCGTAGTTTTCTTCTCTTTCCAGGCAGCACCCTGGGTCATAATCAGAGCTACTGTTTCTTGACTAACCCAGATTCCCTTGTATTCCTGGCTTTCAGCCCAGGACACTCAGGTTCACCCTTGAATCTGTCCTGTAGTGTCCTCTCCTGTCTCATCCTCATCCCCATCCTGCTCACCAATCATTCTTCCCTCAAGCCTCCCTTTGTTTCTGCCCCCCTTTGAGAAAACAGAGACCATCAGGATATGCATCAACATCCTGGCCCCTAACCACTGTCAAGAACCAGCAAGGGGCTGGTTTGCCAGCCATAGTTCTGGAATGCAGGCAGAGGACATGCAATTCCATGGTCAGAGACAAAGAACTGTATATCGCTTGTGGCATGAGAGCAACGCAGGCTTCATGTTTGTGTCACTTTTGGGGGGTAATACTGGGGATTGGACTGAGTGGCTTTGCACTAAGCTACTCCCCAAGTCTTTTATTTTTATTTTGAAACAAGGTCTCACTAAGTCACCAAGTTGCCCAGGCTGGGCTTGAACTTGCAATCCTCCTGCCTCAGCCTCCCAGAGTGCTAGGATTACAAGAGTGTGCCACATGCCATCTTGGGAGAAGTCTGCTCTGTCCCCACTTCTCTCTGAAGCTGGCTTCCCTAGCTTCCCTGCCACTGAAACTGTGCCCACTGGAGCCACTAGGGACCATATCATTCCTAGTAGGAGAGGTACTTTTCAGCTCTAATTTTGCTACAATAGACTCTCTGATTATGACTCTGAGCTCCTCATAATCTCTGTTTGGAACTCTTTTTTCTCATGGTTTCAACAACCAGCTCTTTGTTGGTTCCTGAATCTGTGTTTGTCTCGAGCTCGGATACTCTCATCAGCTGCACCCTGTTCAGCTCTACGAGGGGCACTCTGGAGACCTTCTAAAGCTTCATCTTCCCCTTGAACTGTCTCTCTGTATTCTCTCTCCCAGAGGCTGGATCATGTCCTCAGTCACCAGCCTGGAACCATCCTTTATGCCCTCCCACCCCTAAATACTGAACTAGTCATCAAGTGGCGGCCATTTTATTTCCCAAATCAGCAGATACATGACAGGCAGGCCAATGTCACGATACCACAGAACCTTATTGGTACCTGAGAATTTTAAAAAATGTTTATTTATTTATAAATTTATGTAGATATTTAAGTTTCAAATTTAAAAAGAATAGAGAAGGAGCCAGGGGTTAGCTCAGTGGTTCTCCTGCCTGCCTTGAAAGCTCAAGGTCCTGAGTTCAATCCTCACTACCAAAAAACAAAACAAAACAAAACAAAAATCTAAGATGTTTTAAAAAGAATAGAGATACAACCTAAGTGTTCACCAGTGAATGAAGGGATAAACAAAAGGTTTATCCAGACAATGAAATATTCAGCCTCAGAAAAAGATGTTCTGAAATATGCTACAATATGGATGAACTAGATGACATTATGGTAAACGAAATAAGCCAGTCACAAACAGTATATGTTAGATACACTTATATGAGGTGCCTAGGATAGTCAAATTCATAGAAACCAAAAATAGAATAGGGGTTGCCATGGGCGATGGCAGTGGTGCCGGGCACACATGTTATTGTGTTTTTCTTTCAAGACAAAAGATATTAATTAATGTATGAGATTTTTTTCTAAACTGAAACCTCGGTATTCAGGTTTAATTGCCATGTTGGTTCTTTATGATAAATAAGAGGGTTTTGGGTTACAGTTTGGGTGCTCAGTCTCTAAAAGATTTACCATCACTGGGCTAGGGGAAAGGGGAAATGAAGAACTGTTGTTTAATGGGTTTAGAGTTTCAGGTTTTGCAAAATGAAAAGAGTTCTGAAGATTGGGTTGCACAACCACATGAGTGTTCTTAACACTACTGAAGTAGCATGGTAATTTTATGTGTATTTCATCATGATTTTTGAAATGAGAAGTAGGAGGAAGGATTGAATTTCTAGTAAAGTGAATTTCTATTCAGGTTTATTATGAATATGGACACGTTTTTGTCACCACAAAGAACAAATCTGAAGACAGAGCTATGGACTAATTTCAGGTGGATTAGGATGCTGTGGCAATAGTGTGTAGAAGGATGCCCAGCAGCTTCCTAAGTGCAGTGGGACTGAGTCATCTCCAAGCTGCATACTGTGTGTGTGTGGGAGCTATCGTCAGCCATGCTTTGGGGCTATTTCAAGTATTATGTATAAACCAGTTTGAGATCATGGCATTGAATTTAAATGCAAAGTTCTTGCATCATAATTTTTTAAATCAAACTTTTTATTTTGAGATAACTGTAGATTCACATGCAATTGCAAGAAATAATGTGGAAAAATATGGTGTACCTTTTCCCGTTTCCCCCAGTGGCAACACCTTGAATAAGTAGATTGTAGAATATCAGAACCAGGATGTGGACATGAATAAGGTCAAGATGTATACACCATTGCCATCACCACCAGTATCCCTCATTTCCCCCTTTTTTTTTTGGTACCAGGGATCGAACTTGGGTCCTTGTGGTTGGGCAGATTTTCCCCTTTTATTGTTAGAGAAGTGCTATACAATAAGACAGGCCCTGGCCTTGCCTCCATTTTTTTTCCCACAGAATGTTTTGTTTTGGAAATGTAAGTTGTGCTGCTGGGCTCCTTCCCAATATATCAAAATGGTCTGTGGCTGTTGAACTGTGTGACCTTTCAGGAATGTTCTCTTAAGCCCTGCCCCTCACAAGAAGATTAGTTACCCGCCCCATGTGTTTCAGGAATGTTCTGTAACTCCACCCCTTTGCTTCAGTGAGCATGCTCACCTACCCTGTAGATCCCTATATAAGGCGGCTGTCATTTCTGGTAAAGCACTCAGATTCCTCTGAGCCCACTGGGGATTGCTGGTATAATAAAGGTTTGTTCTCCACCTCTTCAACTGACCATTGGATTCTAGAGTCTTCAAATTACGAGAGCTGTGTTCCAGAGCTGCCACACCGAGCTGTGGCACTTAGCTGGGACACTGAGCTGTAACACTTGGCTATAGCACTGAGATGCTCTGCTCTGCCACAACATTATAACCTCACCTACCTCCTTCCTACCCCCACCTGACAGCCACTAGTCCTCATTTCTATAATTTTGTCATTTCAAGAATTTTTTCAACCATTTTTAATTGGTTTCTTTGTGTGTATGTGGTGATGGAGATTGAACTCAGGGCCTTCACACTGAGTTACAATCCCCAGTCCTTTTTTTGGTACTGGGGATCAAACTCAGGACCCTGTGCTTGTGAGGCAGGTGCCGGAACGACTGAGCTAAATCCCCAGCCCTTTTAACATTTTTTATTTTGAGACAGGGTCTCATTAAATTGCTAAGTTTCCCAGGTTGGGCCCAAACTTGTGGTCCTTCTGCCTCAGCCTCCCAGAGTGCTGGGATTACAGGCATGCGGCACCACGTCTGGCTTGAACTGGCTCAGTGTAAGTCTCTGGAATATTATTGAAGTTGTGTGTGACAATAGCTCATTCCCTTTGTGGTGCTGGGGATTGAACCAGGAGCCTTGAATATGCTAGGAAAGTGCTCTACCTCGAAGCTACATTCCCATCCCTAGTTGCTTTCTTTTAATTGTTGAGTAGTAGTCCTTGATATGGATGAATTGGTTTGCTGACCCATTGAGGACCTACATATTGTTTCCAGTTTTGAGTTATTATAAACAAAGCTGTTGCTGGGCATGGTGGCACACACCTGTAATCCCAAACTCGGGAGGCTGAGGCAGGAGGATTGGTGCAAGTTCGAGGCCAGCCTGGGCCACATGGTGAGTGCAAGGTCAGCCTGAACTACATAGTGAAACTCTTTCTCAAAAGACCCCCCAAAAACAAAACAAAAAATTAGAATAAAACTGTTATAAAAATTCCCTTATAG